AACTCCACCTGCAGCTCTTGTGAATCCTAATGGAAGGAGCAAGGAAGCACCAATTTTCAAAGAGCTCAGGAAGCCTCAGGGGTCACCCCTGCCCCCCAGCCTTGCTCAGCTCCAGGGACTAGAAGAGGAGACTGTTGTTGTGGCTTCTTTGGGCACAGGAAGGGAAGCGGCATCTCCACGAGAAGTTTCATCCATTTAGAACGGTGCAAATGCTGTTCTGGGCACTGAGGATTTAGCAACGATCAGTACAGACAAACTGTTCTGCCCTCAAGGAGCTCACATGTCGGTTCTACTCAGGGAAGAAGTGTGTGAGGAACCCCTCAGTAGGGTCAGTGGTGCGGGATGGAGGCTCTGTCCTGGAGGCCTGGTCTGCCAACTGGGAGTCCTCCTCAGTGCCCCGTGCTGGGCACCCTCTACTTGAGCTTGGCTCATTGCTGGCGCCGCAGATGGGGCAGCTCACCTGCTGGTTGAGTGGGAAAGTATGCCTGTGGGGTTGGCCAGGCTTGAGGCTCTTCAGGTCAAACAGCAGCACGGAGAGTTCATCACTGCCCACAATGTCCTTGTCATAGAGGGTGAGCTCCAGGACATTCTGGAGACGGCAGGAAGGAAGTGGGAGCCTGAGGCAGGGCAGGCACCCTGAAGGAGCCCTCTTCCTCCGCCACCCCGGCCCCTTGCCGGCCCTCACCTTCACAGCGCCATGTATCCGGTAATGGAAGGTCTCGTTCCACTCGGGGTCACTGCAGTTGGCTATCACCCTGGTCTGGGCGCGGCTGGGAGAGGCTGTGGGCAGCCACAGCTGCACGTAGCAGTCGGCTTTGGACACTGTGAGTAGGACAAGGAGGGATCCTGGCTTCAAGCTCTTATTGCTGAGAAGGGTGCCTGCAGGAGGCTGGGGTGGGAGGGGAAGGTGCAGAACGAGCGGAGGAGGCTGCCCACATTGCAGGGATGGGGGACGATGAAAGGAGAGCCCTTGTCCTGGCCTCCATCTCCACCAGTCACACCTCCCATTCAACTGAATGGAAAGCCTGCAGTGGCCAGTTGAAAAGGCCACGTGGCAGCACAGACCCTCGCATAACTAATTCCCAGAGAGGACTTGATTTGGGTGACAGACTCCCCCAGGGTGAGCACTGGCATGGAGAGTTCATGGAAGGTGGGCGCCAACTTCTGGCAGCAGCCAGGGGGCTCTCCCAGGCTGTCACCACTCTGCTTGCATGCCTCAGGGAGGAGTTGGGCCTGCACAGTGCCCCCTCCAGCTCCTGCCTGCCGGCCCTGGGGCTGCAGCCTGGGCTCCCTCGCCTCCCTCCATGGGCAGCACCAGCCCCTCGGCCCCACTCCAAACACACACACTTCAGGCCCGCTCTGGCCGAGCTCTGCCGAGCGTTCCGGGAAAGGGGAGAAAGTGTGGAATTGGGGGTCACTCACACAGGTCTGAGCCCTGGATATTTCTGGCCCTCAGCACCTTCACCTGGAGGTCATAGTATGGGTGGGTTTCCCGCTGAAACAATATAAGTTGGGGACTCAGTTCCAGGAAGCCAGGTGTGGGTCCTGGTCTCCTCGCAGTGATGTCCAGTTCGGGTTTCCCTGATCCCATCAGGAAGCAGCAGCCTGGCCCAGGATCACCAATGTTGCAATGTCTGGCACCCGGAAGGCCTTGGCAGGGCAGGTGTTGGAAGTTCAGCATGTTGGTGCCAAGCCTGGACCTCAGAATCACTCAGGCTGGCTTCAAATCTAAGCTCCACCATGGACTAGCGGAGTGGCCTTGGCAGGTTGCTTGGATTCTGTATGCTCCCGTTTTCTCATCCACAAAACAGGGCTTATGATGATGCTCTCACAGGGTGGCGGCAAGTTTTCAATAAGAAGCTGTATAAAGTAATTGGCCTAAGTACTTAATACACGTATCCATTTTCGCTAGTTACGGTTATCATGCACCACATACTCGGCACTCCCTGCAGACCACAGGGCACTGCTGTAGCGAGAGAGGTGAAGTGATGTGCTTAAGGAGATTAAATATTAGAAAAGTGTGATCAACCCTACCTACTCACTCCCTGACAGAGGCTAGATGGTCTGGGAGGCCGAGGGCAGCTGAAGGGAAGCCAAGAACCACCCAGCTTGCACTGGTCAGACGAGTTGCTACGGAGACTGCAGCTTGAGCTCAGGAGAGATAACCCCAGACTGTGGGCCCCTGGGGGTGAAACCATCTCCTCAAAACCCAACAGCCAGGCTGGGGCATTCCAGGCAAACCCAGCTGGCTGAGGACCATGAGATCTAGCCCTCCATTCCTAACTGGGAGGATTATCTACAAGAGCCAAGGTCTTAGCCAACCTCTCTAATTTAAACTCCCTCAGGTTGTCTGGAGCAAATTGGTTCCACCCCAGATCAAAACCCAATTCCCAGGCTGGCCTCAGGCTTCCCAGGGGGCTGTGCTCCCAGGACCCCTCCAGTCCCCATTTCCGGGAAGATCAGGTACTTTACCTGCCAGTGACTCCACTGAGGTGCCTTGTTCTCTCTCTTTCGCAGCCACACCACGCCCAGGAGGGGCAGCCCCTTGCTTGCTGGCCACCTGGGCCAGAGTGCCCAGAGCATGGCTGGCAGCCCACTTCCCAGCAAAAAGCCGCCTGCTTTCCAGAACCACCTTGCTCTCTTCTGCACACACTCACTGCTCGTTCAGGTCTGACGGGTGGTGCTCGGGTGGAGAGGGTGGAGTTGGCTGCGCTGCTGAGGACTCAGGGCCCTGTGGCTGGAGGTGGGGTTTGACAGGCTCCGGGAAGTCACTGGAGCCCAATTGCCTCTGGCAGGGGACACTCTGGTTCCCAACCCCAGCCCCTGGTTATCATTGGGCTGTTTATGGAAAACATACCTGAGCCCACCGAAGTGTTCAGCCTTCTAGGGGATGTTGACCACCCCAGGGAGCAGCGGCCAGGAGGTATTGCATCAGATGCACAGTCCCCTCCAGCCATCAAAACAAGCCTAAAACCAATACCTTTCAAGTCCCACCTCCCCCACAAGACTGAAGAAAAAGCACAGAAGTCTCTGGTTCGGTGACTGATTTGGACTCAGTGGTGTTCCTGATCTCTCCTCGCCTCCCTCATTCGTTCCCTGAGGAGAGGCTGCTGTGTGCAGGACTTGTACCGCCGGGCCTGGAACCAAAGGTAAGGAGAGCCCATCTACATCCTCAAAATTCCCAACCTCATGACTCCCTGTGTGTTGGGAACCCCTCCTCGTGGCTAAGGCTGAGTGAGCAACCTTCAGACCAGAAGCCACTAAAAAAACAGTTTATCTCCCTGGCAGAAGCAGCACCGCCTCTGCCCTTTTACTTCATCTATAACTGGTCCCCAGTGCATGATCAGTTAGCCAAAGAAGGGTATGATTCCTCAAGGGAGAGATGACCTAAGAAAGGCACAATCACAGGGAGCCCCAGGGAAGGACTTGGGGGCTATAGCAAAAGGACCCTGGCCCCTCAGCTTTGACATAGCCTGAGTCCTCATTCTGTCTGCGAGACGTCTCCTAATCTCTTGGCTGTCTTACTTCCCCTGCTTGACTTTAGCCTGAAACAATGACAGAGGGCAATGCAGCCCGTGCTGGAAAGGGCAGGTTCCCCAGGCAATCAGGCCTGAGAAAGAATACATAAAATCCTGTGAATCCTGCTTTGTTTAGAATGCTCTCAATTAAACAAGGGTCCAAGCAGGAAGTAAGTTTGTTCCTCCAAGTTTTACAGCTCTTTAGCTATCTGACCTTGACTCAGAATAGGCCCTCAGGGTTCTTTGTTATCTATTGTTTGATCCTTACTGCCTGACAATGATTAATGAGCTTTAGCTGTATTCCTGTGCAAAATGAATCCAATAAAAGCCCACTGAGGGAAAGGCTCCTGGCCCTTCTCTGAGAAATCAGCCACCTTTCCTCCCCAAGCAGATCATGTCTTGGTAGACTTCTTATCCGTGGCAGGTAGGAGGGTGGGGGGCCCCTGTGGGCAGAGGCCCCCCACACCTGTGGCTTCAGCCCAAGCCCCCTTCCTGGGTCAGTGTAAGTGCGTGGGCAGTGCGGCCGTACAGGAAGAGACACGATCAAACGATATCGACGAGGGCAGGCGGGAAGCAGGCCTGCCAGTCCTCAACCTACTAGAGATGAAGGCTTTCCAGTCCTGCCGACCCACGTAAGCCTTAGGCTGCAGGTGGCATGCAGTGCACTGTTGGAAGACACGTTTCTGTTCCTGAGCCAAGACCAGGCCCTGTCCACACTCCTCCCCAAGGCCCAAGGTGGAAACTGGAAAAAAGTCTAAAAACCAGGTGATTCAACTTCAAAACAAACCCTATAGGCAAGTTCAGACCAGAAACTCCCAGAACAAGAGGATATGATGTCGCTGGCTAACCCCCAAGGGAAGGGCCTGTTTTTACCTACTTGGGAGCATGAAACCAAGACCTGTGCTGGGGTCTCAGAAATGCTCAAGTCCAAGCCCCTTGGTGACCTGTACACGCAGCATGTGAAAACCCACAAACGCACAGAGGAGCCTGAGGGAGGGCGCGGAGTGAGCTGGCCTGGCAAACGGACACCCTGACTGACCAGGGTGCCCTCTGGGCTGCGCCACTCGCCCCCGGAAGTTGTCTGCCATGCTTCGGGGAGGCCATGCCTCTGTTCCAGGTGTTTTTCATTCCCAGAGAAAACTCAGGATGGCCACACAAGGCCCAACATTCCTCTACTTCTCAAACATCAGTGGGTCCGTCAGTCCTACCAGTCCATAGCTCTCGCGCCACCGCCCCCCATCACGAGCTGCAGGGAGAGGCACGAGGCCCTGGGATGAGCCCGAGTTCCACCTGCGGTGCTGGGAACGTTCTTCCTCTGTCTGCCGCTACACAAGCCACGCTGCTGTGCTGGACGGCAGGTCCACACATGTTGAGACACACATGACGGTCACTACCTGGCTTACTCTTCTCAATTCTTGGCATTAAGATCCTTTCTTTACATCAAACTCCACAGGAAGGGGGGAAAGAGAGACCCAAATAGGCTTGGTTTCTTATTTTATGTTTATTATGAGAGACCTTCATCGGTCCTCACTACAGGACTTTCACCTCCAGCCTCCTCCATACCACCGCTGAGGGCCGAGTCTAAGGAAGGAAGCTGCATTGGGAAGCTGGGTCGTTTATGTGTTCCACAAGGGCAGGAAACACATCCTTTGTTCTACTGCTTCAAACACACGCACCACACAGGTAGAGGGGGGACTGAAAGACACAAACACGACAGGCCAAAGTTTCCACGGCACGACGATTTCACTGATGCTCCGGGAGGAAGCTTGGTTTCGTGGTGCTCATGGGGCCAAGGGCAGCAGTGCTTCCTGTGGGTGGGTGTGGCCAGCTGGGACGGTGGCTCTCGTGGAATGCTGCCGTACCCCCAGGTCGTGAGCAGAATCCCGTCTCCAAGAATGAGTGTTGGCAGCACTGGCTGTCCCTCCAGACCCTCCAGGGAGCACGTGCCTGGGGGAAGCCTCCTCCACAATACCAGCAAGTCCGTCCACAGCACACGCCCAGAACGGCACCGCATGTCAAGGCCAGGCCACTAACGGGGGTCAGTGTTGGGCGCCCTCACGCACCCTCACTACTGTTAAAAAGACATTGAGGCACCAAGACTGCAAGCCTGCAAAACACCGGGAGGACAGGATGCAGGGCCTCTCTCTCCCACAGTCCTCGGCCGGCAGTGCTCGACTCTCGTGCGCCTTGAGGCCGCCCCCACACACCAGTCAGTGCTTAGCGGGTTTGGCGGTGAGGAATTGTACAAACCCACGCACTGCTGCTCCTGCGGCCGCAGCACTCACAGGTATGCCTGCATCACGTCACCGTCACTGCCGGATCTCGTTATTCCTGTGTGCGCAGAGATCCACCTACCTAATGTCATCCTAGTGCGGCCCCCCAGCCCCTGCCAAACGGAGCTGTCCGTGGACGGCACTGGCTGGAAAGAGAAAGGCATCCCAAGCATAAAGCACTCACCCAGCAGGACCAACCCAAACTGCCCCAGGCCTCTGCAGACCACAGCCTGAAGATGGGACGGCCACACCCCGAGTGTGGTGCTGTCCGTCCTCAGAGCTGCTGTCACACTCGGCCCTGAGGGAGGTGTGCAAGGTCTGTCCTCCATCCAGACCGATGCTCTCCTAAGCTTCCAGGGAGAGCGTACGGTCCCAGGGGGACCTATTTACAAGACACCTGACAGTCAGTTATCAATGTACCCCTAGAAGATGGGCTTCCTCTTGCTTCTCTTTGCCTTAATTAAATATTAGTTACTCCCAATGTCAGAAAAATGGGGAAGAAAGCCTGAGTAGAACAGTGAGAGGAGAGATAAAGGGAGAAAACACAGAAAGAAAAGGAGACCGAAAAGTAAAGAGATGAGTGGGGAGGCTCCTGGGGGCACACGGGGTGCGGTGCCCATGGGGCAAGGACTGTCATTTCCTATAGGACGACACTCGGCCTTTGCAGCTAGAGGAGCTCTGGAATTGCTCCCTTCTCGCGGGCTCCGGCAGCCAGGCCCAGGGCTCCCCGGGAAGTCCTGCACACGTCTTATAGAAAACTGAGTAACAAGCCTGGGGCTACAGAAGCTCCACATGGTCCTTACTCAGGTGACGGGTATGCAAAGGCAAGGCGCGCCCACTGCCACCTCCTCCAGTCCAAGCAGGCATTACATTCTCTGGAACTGCTTGCAACATAATGGCATATAAAGTATTAACTAATCTCTTTTTCTATTAAAAAGCCGGCGACACCAGACCACGAGTCAGATTAATTCAGAGATGTTCCAGGGCACAAGGTAGCCAGTAGTGTCCAAATGTGGAGACCTTGCTGGTGGCAGCAGCCCCCGAGTCCTAAGGCCGGTGCTCCTTTCCCATGCTGGGATGGCCAAGCTGTCCATCTGCTGAGTCCTGGGCACGCTGGGCTCAGGTGTCTGCCGGGTTCACCTCTTTGGAACAGAAGTAGTGCACCACCACTCCATTGGGGTATCTCGCAAATGCACTGCAGGGAAGACAAATGACTTGGGAATGAGGACTGCCTCTCGAGCCTGCTTCTTACCTGGAAAAGGCATCGTAGCCGGGAGCCGTCCAGCAGCAGCAGCCCCCTCACCACACAGAGCAGCCTGCCCCGAGCAGGGCTGTCCCACCTGCAGCCCAACGGGCCGCACGCAGCCCAGGACAGCTGTGAACTCGTCCCAACACAAAATCGTAAATTTACTTAAAACATTATGAAGTTTTTTTTGTAATTACATGTTGCGATGTATTTAATGTGTGGCCCAAGACAACTCTTTTTCTTCCAGCGTGGCCCAGAGATGCCAAAAGGTTGGACACCCTGCCTAGGGTCCCTGGATTTACGTAGCCATTATCTCTGCCCAGTGACCGCTCACAACAGGAGGTCCACGTGCTCAGGGATATTTCCTGCTAAGTCATCAACATGAAACACACAGGCAGACAGGGCTGCACGCTGGCCCGGCTCAGCACCGGCTTACTGAGCGCCAATAGTGCTCCTCAAAACAAGTTTCAGGCTCATTCTAACGAAGGACCAAGGTTTGGGTATTTCTAAAGAAAAAAATTCTTCTGAGTATTTGCCCTAAGACAGTATGATCCTGGCTCAGGATTGCACTCGAATCGTGAGGCAGCAGGTTGACAGATCTTTTTCTTCCTTCAAAGGTACAACCTTAGGGGTTAAGGACTTTCTCCCCACGTACGAACCCTCCCGTACCCACTGGCTGTACACACATTCTAGGTGCCGGAGGGAAAGACTTTATGGGCGAGATGTCAATAGTCCCATGCCACACACTTCAGGTTTTTAAATCCCCAAAGCCCACCCCAACAGCACGCACTGCCCTGTCAGGCCTTAGGAACTGAACGTGCCCAGGACAGTCAGCAGTGGTGCTGGCTTCCCCCTTGGGTTGGAGGGCAGAGTCCATCCTGAGCGTGACCCGCTCGGGACAGACCCTTCAGAGGTGTGGAGCAAGCTCACCTGTTCCCAATCTTCTTCTTACACACCATGCACACCTTCTCCTCCGTGATGATGCATTTCACCTGCTGGTGTAAAATCCGCTCTTCCTGGACCTAGAAGGGCAGAGAGATTGGGAGAGAGAGAGGCCCCATGGTCCAGCTGGCAGAGCTCCCTCCACCTGAAACACTTGCAACTAAATGTCCAGCTGGTTACAGCTGCGTTAAAAGAACACCGAGGTCTGCTTTTGTCGAAATGAGTATGTGTAACCGTCTCATGCTGAAAAGTACTAGCCCACCCTAGGGTTTGCAAGGCTCATACCCGCAGGAACTCAGCATGGAGAAGGTTCTTGAGCACCTGGTTGAACCGTTTCTTCTGCGCATTTTCCTCTAAGACTTTTTCCAGGAAGATGCGTATGTCATTAATCTGAGTGTTTGCTGGCAGAAGGTTGAGGGCCTAGGGATGGGGACCGAGATGGGAGCAGAGTGAGTTGGGGTAGGAGAGACTGAGGAGATGGCAGGAGCCCCCGAGCTCCGGACCGCGGCCCTCCCTCCACCCCCTCCCCACTCAGCACCCCTGCAAGCGCCCCTGCAAGCACCCTGTCTCCCCAGGAAGCACCGACCTTCGTGGTGTCCAGTTTGCTGTGGTGCAGCTCAAGGACCTGCAGGGCTGCCTGGAGGTTGGCTTGAGGCTCCAGCAGTTCCAGCTTGATTGGCCCCAGGCAGTGAACGCTGGGGGGCGACAGGTACATCCGGAGCAGGGACAAATACACCTGCCTCACAGGTACAAGCCACGTACATCAGGCGGGTAGCAACCCCTCCCCACCCCCAGAATGCCCAGCATGACCGCCCCTGAAGTTAACGAGGTTGGTCTAGCAGGGGTGTTCAACCTTTGGCACCTCTGGGCCACACTGGAAGAAGAGTTGTCTTGGGCCACACATTAAATACACAAACACTAACAAAAACAAAAAAAATCTCATAACATTGACGGTTTTGTGTTGGGCCACATTCATAGCCACCCTGGCTGAACACGGCGCATGGGCCGCGGGCTGGACACCCATGGTCTACAGTAACAGCTGCCATGGAGCACTTAACACTCATCATTTTCACCTTTTAAAAGATTTTGGTAAAGAGTCAACTGAAGGTATAAAAAATTAAGGGTTGTGCTTTCCTCGAGAGAAAAAAAACAAATGCCATGTATTTGCTAACCACCGGCAAAATGCCAGCCCTGCAGAGTGAACAACTCCACTCCCTCATTTCCTGTGGCTCTGGAGCCTGAGACCCTGTCTTGCCTGGACAGGTATGGATTAAGCCGAGAGGAAAGGCTGCATTTCCGACCAGTGTCAGAACCACAGGGATATCGACCTGAGCACACCCAACATTTTGGGCCAGATGGTTCTTCGCTGGGACTGCCCTGTGTATTGTTTAGGAGCAACTCTGGCCTCTACCTCCTAGGTTCCAGGAGCACCTCACTCCCCGATCACGGCAATGAAAGACGTCTCCAGATACTGATAAATCTGTGCTCGATCTGGACAGAGCTCAAATGTGCATGTTACCAGAACCACCAGATGCTCCTCCTCTCGACAGGCTGACTACAAAATTACAATACGAGTCAGGACTGTTTGAGAGGAAGGGAGCATGGCCCCTTCCTCATAATCACATGGATGGTAACGGACGCAGACCAGAACTCTGCCAAGCAAACCGGGACACAGGGCCGCCCCTCCCCTCCCCCACTGCACACAGGCATAGTCAATCACTGCGCTGACCCGTGCCCTGTCTGGTCTTCAAGTCACACAGGTGCCACCTGTGGCCAAACCAGAGGTGGGCAGGCATGCCAAGGCTAAGAGAGACAGTGGAATGCACGCATGCCCCCTGGAGCCAGGGTCACTACTCACATCTTTGTTGCCGTCTTTGTTCTGGTCATAATGCTTGTGGCAGTACCTGCAAGGGAGAAAGTCTTAGACAAGGCCAGGGGGACCACCTCCAGAGACACAGCATCTACGCCACCTGCACGAGCGGCCCAACGCGAGCCCACACCAGAGGCTGGCGCAGAGGAGACTCCCCCACCCCGGCTGCAGAGGGGATGCGCAGTGGCTTTCTTAGTCTCTCACGCCTCTCATCTCTCTGGGGGCCTGCTTTCAGACCCCGAGGGAGGTGGGGGGGCAGGGTCGACGTACTCCTCGGCCATCTTCGTGTCCTTCAGGATGTGGACATAGATGAAGAGAGCCTGCTCGTGTTTCCCCATGCGTCCCAGCAGGAGAGCGCGCTCTTCTAAGAGGCCTGTGGGGGGAAAGGCATGTAAGTAACCACCCCCACCACCAGGCCAGGCGCTGAGCTACTAGAGAAATGGGTGCTGGAGCAAAATAAACTGGGAAATAATATTTTTATGACTTGGGACTTAGTCAAGGAGAAAATTACTAAAATTTATAAAAGAGGGGAGAGCGCTACTTTTGGAGGTGTTTTATCCCATCTCTTCATGACCATTTACAAATGGGGTGAGAACACTCACTCGGCAGCCAGGTACACAGTAAGCGCCTGCACTGGGCCAGCCACTTCAAACAAGGTAAACACTTGGCCTGTGTCCTCCCTGAGCTTACACATCAAACAGTTATGTGTCTTTTCAAGGCAAATTATGCCAGACAGAAGTCACTGGATGATGCACGTGGCCGGGAACATGCACTGCAACAAACAGGTTCCAACCTGGCTATCAATTAGCATGCGGCTCATACCCGAGATGCCTCCCAGTCACAGCACAGAAGTGAGTCCTCAGAGGGGACCGGAGAGGAACACCCCCCTCAAACACATGTTTTTTCCTGGCCCAGCTTTTCAGAAGGCTGGGGAGCTGGATCAATTTCTGCATTAGCAGCAGCTGAAGGGGCTTTTGCCCCAACCCCAATACTCACCATCAAAAGGAAAATCGCAGATGAGTCGGCCTGGGTCATAGTAGCTGGAAATTTCCAAGAACATAAGGAGCTTCCGTCGATACTCTCCCAGTTCACCCTCCTCCTCTCCGGCAGGAACTGGAGCTTTGCCTTTGAGGGAGACAAGGCTCAGTGTGGAAGGACTCTGTCGGGCAGCCCATGGGCTCGTCAAGGAAAACGAGGGGGCCGGGGGCCGGCGATGTCACCGCAACCATCTGAAAGGGCCTCCAGAGTGGTTTCCGGTGGCCTTCTCTTAGTTTACGGCCTCTACCTACACGGCCCCCAGACGTCAGCTCAAGGTAAACAAGAAAAATAAAAGTCTGCACAGAGAAACGCTCTGGCTGGCAAACCTGTTTCTTATCCTGAAGACAGATCTGTTCCTTCCCTACCCCAGGGCTGACACCCAGAGATGCTTAGAGACGCCCGGATCCAGACGAGCTGCTGAGTCTCGAGTCCTGGGTCACTGAGCTGCCCTGGCTCCTCGGGGGAACTTCCTGCCCCCCTGGGGCCCACCACAGAGCGGCCTGCTTCCCTCCACCACACGCAGCACCCTCGGGTCCCCACTTGTCTCTAAGGCCAGGGGCCACGTGACTCTCTACGAGAACTGGTACCTGTGGGAAAGGACAGGAGGTATGCCTTCATCAGCCCTTGCACCTTCTCGCAGTACAGCTGGATCAGGCAGTTGTGGAACCGGGAGCCCGTCTCCTCCCAAACGTGGATGACATGTTCCTGAGGCGAGACACAGGTCTGCCTGTGACACAGGCCACAGGCCACAGGTCTGCCTGAGACACAGGCCACTCAACGCTGTGGCCTGGCCCAGGCACCTTGTGTCCCTCATGCTTGCAAGGCCTGACAAGCCACATCCAGACTGTCCCCCAATTAAGCCACAAAGATTACCAAGGGACAGCTCTTCTGAAACCGTGGGAAATTTTGCAACACAACCCAGCAACATCAGGAATTTTTTCCTTGATTTCCATCTAAGCTCCTTGATTAATTTTGTCTCATTATCTGCCAAATCAGCCCATGTAATTAAGGGTAAACATTTACATTCTGGTACTTAAAACCGATCTGGTTGGTCCTGTGGTCACGGTTGAGTTAGGGTGTACAATTGTGGCTCTGAAATGTTTTTCTTGAACATCCTTCTCTTCTACCCCTCTGCACTTTACCTAGGTTTAGAAGGTTATCAACAAAAAGTGACATTCCCAGCTTGGCCCACTGGAATCACTTCGAGCATGCTGAAATGGAAATAACTCTCTTTCTTACATTTCTACAATCCCAAGTGACACAAACCCCAATCTGACCACCTAATAACTAACCCGTGAGGCCCTGGATCCTGGATTCGAAATTCTTTAGTTTAGAACTAACAGTATCTTACCAGATAAGGAATAGCCAGACCCTTAAAATTCTCCACTAAGAAGCCAAGCACTCGGTCTCGGGGCAGAGACTCCACCTCTGGGAGGTCTTCGGTAAATATCTGTCAAAACAAACCAAGCTCCAGCCGCAGAACCACCCACTGCGGAGCTGCCACGTGCACAGGCACGCGGGCGGAAGGCTTCTGTAGCCAGTTAGTGTGCGACGGACGGGGCTGCAGGCGTCCAGACGCTTGTGTAAAGCTCTCCCCTGCACTGCACTGTCGTCTCGCGTTTGAACACCAGCGACACTGCATGTACCCTTCCTCCCACACCATCCACCCGTCTCCTGAGTAGAATCAGGACCCACTGTGGTGCCGGGTGAATCCAAGGACCTCTCATGACCTACCTTCAGGCCATCCTCTGGGAAGTCTCTCAGCACCCACACCGAGTAGGAGAAGATCAAATGCAGGTTTTCTGTGCCTAGAGGAAAAGTAAGGCTTGTCTGCAGGTGAAGCCTACATTGCCCACAGGTCTGGGAAGGCAGGCGCCTAGGCTGCCCCAGGATTCATTTTCTGGAGAAGATAGCTCTGTCCAAGCAAGAGTCACTCAGGGCCGCTTGGCCTGGGCTGGCTACATACCAAAGGGCTGTCATGGTTCCCCCACTGGGGGACTTTGACCTCAGCTGGTGGAACAAGGAGGGAGGGCACTGACCGGCCAGGATCAGAGACGGGGACAGCAGGTCTGTTTGAACGCAACCCCTTTCTGCCTCCCCCTTCAGAAGCTGGACTTACCCAGATGCTGCAGATACTGCACCGTCCTCTCATGGCCTTTCAGAGGGGAGTTGGCTTTCTTGGACTGGTCCACCAGCACCTGCAGAGCTGGCCATGAAGCCCAAGAACGAGGTCATGAGCCTCTTCCAGAAGGTTCATCCCCACAGATTCATCACACCTCAGTGTCCCCTCCCCGCTTCTGGTCACCTTTCTCATGGAGCCCCTTCTTCTCGTACAGGATTATCAGCTCACTGTACTTGTGAGCCTTCTTCAGCACGTGCTCACTCTCTTCGATGTGGCAGTGATTGTTCTCCAGGCGCAGCAGCGGGGCGACCAGGGCCACATTTGTCTGTAGAGGAAGCAGGACTTCAGCAGAGAATGCTTCCTGGGGGGCCCACCCCTACCCAGCCACCCCTGCTCTGGGCTAAAACAAACAATGCTTTTTTAGGACCACAGGTAGTGGTTTTTATAGCATACAGTCTTTTACACATGTTTTAATGGGGTTTTTGCAGGGAGAGGCAGTGGAAAAAGGGAGTAGTTCCCTTGAGGAAATAACTGTTCATATTGCATCACTGACCCCAATCTTACCAAAGACAAACCCACTGTAAGACTCTGGGCCAACGTCTTGACTTAAATTCTTTTAACTCCAAGAAGCTCACAGGTATCAGGCAAAGACTAGGCATTCCCATCATCAAAGATTTCACTGTTACTAACAGCAGGTACCCCAAAGTGGCACTCTCCCAGTTTCAGCAGCCCGGGGGACTGTGGGTGCCTGAGTGCTCAGAGAACTCACGTGGAGGTAGCACTTGAGCAGGGTGGTGTCGATGATTTGCAACAGTTTCTTCTTGGACTTGATGGTGGGAGTGCCCTCCATGAGCGGGGACGTGCTGGACTGGTGGTCAGAGTCATTCAGCTTCTTCACCAACTGGCTTCGTTTCTGCAGAGGCCAAGAATGTAGGATCAAGGCCGTGACTAAACCTTCCTTTATCGCTTATCTGCTGGGTGATCCCAAACACCTCCACATCAGCCCACACCTGCCCACGCCCTGATCTCACATCTGCATATAATTTTGTTCAGAAGTTTAAATAATTAATGGTTCTTTAGAACTTAAGTAAGTTTATGATGTACTGCTCAATTGTACGTTAATAGTAATTGTTGCAATTCAACTCAGATGACATTTTAAAACACAGAAACATTTGGCTGCAGGAAATTTAAAAAAATTAAAATGGCACTTTTGTACAGAGACATGACAGATCAAGCATTCGCTTGATGAAAGATCTCCAAGCACAAAACGTACTAAACGTATTGGGATAAAAGTCAGTGGAGAAAGTGGAATAAAAATTAAAATTTGAGGAGTAAAAGAAACAATGTTAAATTCTTTTTTTTGTTTTGAGAAAATGCTTTTTAAAAATAATTGAAACCTCCAGAGCATTTTTAATGGACCATATATGGGGCTAAGATTTTTCTCGACACAGATTGTCCTCCTTTAACCCCCAACAGACTCGCTGGGGCAGCACAGCATTTCTATCAGGGATCAAAACAGACGCCTGCCAAGGTGCCACATACAGTAACAATTCTTTGAATTCTTTGTTGAGTATTTACTACACACCATCACTGTGTCAAGCACTTTACATATGACCCCATTTTAAACCTAGAACGAATGCAGGTGTTACTGTGCCCATCTTACAAATGAAGAGCCCACAGCGCAGATGTGAGGTACTTCATAAGTGGCACAGGCGGGTTTCAAATTAGGGTCTAATCACATTCTTTTATTTACTTTTTTATATTAATGTTGTAAGTTACATACAGTAAAATGTATCTCTTTTAAGATGCATTCTGACAGATACATACATGATTGTAACCACCACCTTAATCAAGGAACAGACCTCCATTGCCCCAGAAAGGTCCCTTCCCAAACAATCCCACCCCCCCCCCCACCCCTCTGATCCGATTTCTCTCGCTCAAGTTAAGGTTTACCTACTCTAGAACTTTATACAATGGAATCACCCAGTTGGCACTATTTTGTGCCTGGCAGTGCCCGTTGTCTTACATGCTCTGCCATCGCTCCGGCACAACGCTAGCGTCAGCCAACGTCATGCATCCCAAACACCAGTGCAGAAGGCCAGAGACTGACGTGTGCCTGGGGCCCTGAAGCTGAGACACTAAACCGAAGGCCTTCTCTAAAGCCACAGGCTTGGGGGGCATTCTGCCCCAGGGGCCCTTCTGACTGGGCATGTGGGCCGTGCGGCGTGCAGACAGAGCATGCCAGTCTGTGCTCCCTGCCAGCTGCCAGTCACAGCCGGGCATGCCTGGGGCCCACTGCCAAGGAAGTGCCAAGGCCATGCAGGCCCAATCAGACCTGAGGGAGGCTTACAGTTTTTCTAGCAATACTTCCCACTGCCGACCCAGGGACCCTTTACACAGGCCTGCAGAACACGTAGGGGGAAAATATACTAAGTTCTCTGACTTTGAGTGGGTGCACAAAAAATAAATGATAGCTTTGTGGGAATGAACTTTGGGTTAAGAAGCTTCAGTGAAGATGTGAGTTTTAGTGTTGACTTTAAAGTTTCACTTATCTGTCCATAACACATCGAAAAAAAATTAAATGGAAATATTTCCCCTAAAAAAAACCATGTTATAGAAGATTATATATTTATTTATTGACAAGGACAGACTTTCTCATTATATGGCTAAATTTTCTTAATTGATTTGAAAGAGAAGAGAAACATCACTTTGTTATTACACCTACTGGTTGATTCTTGTACATACCCTGACCTGGGGATTGAACCTGCAACCTTGGTGTATCAGGACGATGTTCAACGAACTGAGCTACCTGGCCAGGCCCTAAATTTTTTAAAGTAAGCTATATACTGAGGCAGTTTTATGTCCCTTTGTAATAAATAAAGCAATACATACATAAAACCTAATTCATAAATACATATATAAGTCTAAAGGACAACACTAAAATGTAGTGACTTTTCTCTGGGTTCTAGGTAGAATTAGAGATGATCTGTATTTTTGCTTTATACTCTTCGGTGTTTTGTAAGTTTTCTGCATCGAGCAGGTATTTTTTCCAAAATTACGTATGTGACAAAGAAGTTTGTTTAAAAAAATGTATTATTTTCTATCATCTAAAATTTACTCTTTTTAGCCCTGCCTGGTGTGGCTCAGTGGACTGAGTGACGACAGCCTGCGAACCAAGGGTCACTGGTTTGATTCCCAGCCACGGCACATGCCTGGGTTGTGGACCAGGTCCCCAGCAGGGGGTGCACAAGAGGCAATCATACATTGATGCTTCTCTCCCTCCCTTCCCCTCTAAAAATAAAAAAGAATAAAATCTTAAAAAATAAAAATAAATAAAATTTATTCTTTTTAGTTCCTGAACAACTTAGTTTGAATTTAGCAGGAAATAAGGTGTGTTTCCTTATACCAGAATTTGGCAAAAAGCACCTCAACAGTACTAGCAAGCAGGGAGGAGCGGCAGGAAGGTAATCTGCCCACCCAGACTTCTGCAGAGCTCATTTGTGAAACGCCTGTGGCATTATAGAGGGCCCTCGACTCCCTACCATAAAGAAGCAGGTACTGGACCCCCAAGTCAACTCTTTCATACACTTCTCTCTTACACCTACCTGTGTCAGGTAGTCAATCAGAGCTAAGTGAGCCTTCTCCAATTCAGCCGCGGAGAGCGAGGGCAGGGGGTTTGGATACTGCAGCTGCTTCCTATAGTCTGTGGGCAGCAGGTCTGGGTACAGGCCCATCACGTGGGTAGGATCTACACAGAAGGTAAACACATGATTCCCCAGAAAGCAGTACAGCAACTGAAGGATTAAGTACCGAGTTGGCTGAAAAGTTTTTTTTTTCCCCCATTAGATGGGTCTAGTAGCACTCAGTTGTCTTTAACTTCATTTGAAAAAATTTTGTTAGATTGTATTGTGACAGCTGCACATCAGTGTGCATTTAAAAAAAGCATAAAAACTGGTGAACTTTTGTGTAGCCACTTTAATATTGAAGATGGAAGAAAATATACAACATTTTAAGCATATTATGCTTTATTATTTCAAGAAAGGTAAAAACACAACTGAAACGCAAAAAAAGATTTGTGCAGTGTATGGAGAAGGTGCTGGGACTGATCGAATGTGTCAAAAGTGGTTTGCAAAGTTTTGCTGGGGGTTTTTCACTGGATGATGCTCCATGGTTGGTAGACCAGCTGAAGATGAGAGCAATCAAATGAGATATTAATTGAGAACAATCAACATTATGCAATGCAGGAAATAGCCAACATACTCAAAACATCCAAATCAATAAAGTTACTGGTGAAAAGGAAAAATGTGTCGTTCATTTTACAGAAAAAACTAGACAGACCTTTTGGCCAAGTTACAGATTGCATTTTGTTTTTGAGGAATGACTAAGTTCATAAAGACTTGGTGAGCTATACGCTTATAATCTGACCACTATTTATATATATATTTCACTAAAACATTACAAAAATGGTATGACTCTATATTCCAAGATATAGATACATACATGCATGCAGAATTAGAATTGAAAATTTATTAAGTCTCTAAAAGCACAGGAGAAAAAAATTTTCAAGGGAAAACTGATATAAGGCACTGAAATTGAGAAGATCAATAAAGTGAAAAATAAAAAACTATGTCAAAAAAGGAATATAACTAAAACAGAGACCAGACAACAGCCTGCGGTTAAAATTTTGCATCATATATGTCAATTACATAAAACAAATTCCCACAAATTGGTTGAAGAAATAAGATTTCCTTTGATAAAAGGGCATAAAACATAACTGATAAAAGAAAAATATAAGTGGGAAAATTTACTACATTATTAAAACAGTACCCATTAACAATGTGAGATGATTCAATATTATTTTATATTAGTTTCAGGTGTACAGCATAGTGTTAGGCATGTATATGATTTAGGAAGTGATCTCCCTGAAAGATCTAGCGCCCCCTGCCTCTGGCGCCACACATAGTTGTGACAGTGGTGCTGACTGTGTGCCTGTGCTCACTTTACAGCCCCGTGGCTGTCCTGTAACCACCAGTTTGTGCTTCTAATCCCTTCACCTTTTCCACCCCAACGCCCCGCCCCTCCGGCAGCCTGATCCTGATCATCTGTCCTCTGTATCTATGAGTCTGTTTCCGTAGGTTCCACTCGTAAGTGAAATCACAGGGTATTGTCTTTCCTCAGAGACTAAAATTTAAGCAGTCTCAAAATTTTTTTAAAAAAACTAATTTTGTGAGGTGATATATTAACTTGATTGTGGAAATCTTTTAAAAATGTCTAAGTATACCAAAACATCCTGGTGTAATTTTTAAATATATTATGATTTTTATTTGTCAATTGTATTTCCATAAAGCTGAAACCAATAAAAATATTGTAAAACAATAAAAAAAAGTCAGGTGACATTTTCATATTCATTTAATCAGTATAAAGAGTATTTTATATGATACTACCCAATGCTTGTCACGTTGTGAAACCGAATCACCCTTCCAGTAGTAGGGCACAGAAAATCAGCACCTCTAAAGGAAAAAAGCACTCATAGCCGCAAACCCTACTTCTAGGAGTTAATTCTAAAAAACAGTACAAAGGTGGGGGAAGCAACATCTGTATGGACAGGTAATGCCTCAAGCATTATTTGTGACTAAGCAATTTTGGAAACAATGCAGAATTACTTCAACAGCAAAATAATGCATTTTTTATTCAACTGATAGAATATTATGCAATCATTGCAAATTGTAATTATGAAAAGCACCAACATGGGAAAACACTATACTAAGTTTTAAGTAACAAAAGCTATGGAAATGTATTATAACTATGTTAAAATATATACATGACAAGAATCTTGGAGGAAGAAGAGATAAATGAGTCAAGATCAGAGGTAAAGTTTTTCCTTCACATTTTAATAAACTTTTTGTACTAGCATTACTTTATTTTCATTTAAAAAATAATGTTGCAGGAGCATCCTACACAAGGGACCAGGGTCCTTCGTAAGCTGACCGACCAGAAGAGAGAAGCTCCACAGCCTTCCCTTGAAACCCCCAGAATTCACGTCATCCCCAAGTCACCTGTGACTGGCCACAGTATTTCCGCCAAGCCAGGAAATCTCTGTGCGTCAAGGTAAGAGAAATGTGATGACGTGAAAAAGACACCGGAAGGGGCAACGGAACAGAACTCCTGGCAGCTCTGCGTGCGAGCCCCACGGAAGAACAGCCTGAGGACGGACGACGGCTGCCGGGGGCCTGGCTGACTGCGTGGCCCTCGCTGGGGCCGCGTCCACATCCTGCTGCCAAGGTTTGCGTCTACAATGTGATTATTCTAACTTAAAACCTTGTGATATCATCCAGAGACTACTAAACCAGGTCCAAATTCCCCTGCAGTATTCAAGGTGCTCTAAAACCTGGCCCCGATGTCTCCCTCTCGTGTGATGTAGCAAGCACCACGACGTCATTTTGGGCTCTGGTTCACAGGCCCTCAGACACTGCACTGGGTCCTCCACTTCTCCTCCTCACCCTCCAGGGCCTGGCTCTGCCCCTTCCTCCTGGGAAGACCTCCTCACTTCTCTCTGCTCTAAGTGTGGGAAACGTCACGCTTACCCCAATGTTTTACTTAGCAGCTTCACGTACAAGCTCTTTGTGGACATGTAACATGTCTTCCTCATCCCTGAAGCCCAGGAACGAAGGCAGAGCTGGCACACTGACAAGGCCTATCTGGTCTGGCTTTGGGGCAGCATGTCCTCTGAGTCCAGCTGAACCCCTAGTTCAACACACAGGTAGTTAACAATGGAGTGATGCCCCATATGCAGGACAGAAGACGCAGATCGACTCTGCTCTGGCCACATGGATCTGGCTGTTGCTTGCACATTTGCAGCATTCTTCCAACCTCACTGCACGTGCATCAGTTGTTCCCTCTGCCTGGAATGCTCTCCCCTGGACTTCTGTAAGGCTCCTTACATCATCTTCTTAGGGTCATAAATGAAACGTCTCCTTCCCAGAGATGCCTTTCCTAGTTATTTTATCTTGAATTGAAATCCTAACTCCTATCCTCAGTACTCATCTCCTTCCCCCTGCTTTACTTTTCTTAGTACTGATCACTTCCCAACATATTATAATTTCGCTTATTTAGTTACCTGTCCCCTCCCCATCAGAATATAAGCCCATGTACTTGACACCTAGAATAGTTTTTAGCATGTGGTAGTGATAGGGGACTCAAGACCTGGGAAATTTTAGCTTAAGGTAAAAAGTTGTAAGTCTAGCAAGTAATTTGTATGTTAAAGCCTTTGTTTCAGAAACTACAGATAAGGCCCATCCTGGCTCCTGGGAAAACAGCCCAGCTGGCCTCCTGGGGCACTGACAGAAGATTACTACCTGGGGACATCCGGACCTTTTGTGCTCCAGGAAGATACAGATGACCGCCATTCCTGGGAACACTAACTGCCCAGAACAGGAATGATGCAGCCTCGCTCATCTAATTCCCCTTGAATTTCAAAGCCCTCACCACACCTTGTTTATCTACCCACCCCCACCTTATAAAAAGGTCTGGCCTGGAAAGAAAAGACAAGATGGTCTGTTAGGGTATGAACCTGCCATCTTCTTGGATTGCCAGCCATCTGAATAAAGCACCCAAAGATTCAATTGCTGTCACTGCTTATTGGATTTGGTAGTGATAGACAGCTGGAACACCGGTGTCTTTTCTGGTTACAGTAGAAGCTTGATCAAACTTTAGTTGAGTGAAAGAATGAGTAAATAAAGAACACAGTATTTGAAAAAATTCAAGATCTAAATATAGGTTTCAAGAAACAGAAGAACTGTCTCACTCCCACTCTAGCCGCTGCACACCAGCACACTCGACCACCCACACCCAAGGATGCCAGGGCCTCGACACAGCGAGACTTCTCTTCCAGCCCTCCTGCAAACGCCTGTGGCACTTCCCTTTCTACCTTGCATTAGGGCTTTTTATGTACAAGTTGTAGGTTGCCACAGGAAATAGCTCTAGCGATTCTTAAACATTTTTAGGATCTTAGACATCTTAGAGAATTTGATGAAAGGTATTGATCCTCTCTCTAGAAAAATCTACATATGAACAAAATGTCACATGGAGTCTAGGGTGGTTCACAGACTTGCTAAAGTCCCCAGCAGAGGAGACAGAGCATCATCCTGATTCACAAGGGGTAGAAACATGACACCCTTATGAGGGCTCTGGGGGGGCGTGGGGGGGGGGGACGGACGACACAGCCAAGGGAGGGGCAGGAAGCAAACCTGGGCCCCGCCCACCCTGCACTGGGGGAGGAGGGAACGCTGCTCCTGGCAGAACAATGTTCCAGCCATCCAAGACTGTTCTCTGGCTCAGAAGAAATATGCCTCCATAGAACTTCTGTGCCCCCAAAGCAGTCTTCTGACTTGGCACCCCAGGTCCTCTCTGTTCCACTACAAGCTGCGTTTCTTTAGCGTGAATGAGCTTGTGTGCAGCTGGGAAGGGGGAGAATGACGTCAGTGTGAGGCAAAAGTTGTGTTGGTTTGTGTGCAATTTCCCCCAGCTTGTTGACATTTTGAAGTGACTGGAGCAAGCATTCTCACAATTAAAGAGAAAGCCTTAATGTCACAAAGAGACTTAAAGAAAGGAGCTTAAAATCCCACAGAAATACCTTCTTTTAGTGCAGGTAGTGGCTGGTAAGTGACTTCAAAAACCACTTCTTTATTAAGCCATCTGGGGAAGCTGGGGGGAAAAATGAAGCAAAGATGTTTCCCCCATATCAATTTTTGGAAGTCTCATAAAGAAGCCTATACCCAGAATTAACTTTTTACTTTGATGAAAGCAGTTTCCATTAGAATCAAATGTTCTTAAAGATCTGTGTATCAGAGAGAAAGCACGCCCCAGGGTTTAAGGCTGCAGAGGACTATCGTGCGGTACCAACACCAGTGAAAACGTCATTTTAGTAGGACTGTTGTTTTTATTAGTGTTCCACTTATAAAGCTGCCTAGATTTAGAATGGTCCATTACAACCTTACTTTCCCCATAAACCCTGTTATTTTCCATCAATATTTGTTATACAATATAAGGTTTTGCAGACCTATATGTAAGGCATTATAGCAAAAATGCCTATAGCTCAGCACACATAAAAAAAGTGCTCTGCATGAACATCTGGCCATTGGAAAGGTATTTGGCCTTCCTACTTAAGTAAAGGAATACTCTGTTAATGCTGCATTGGCAAAAAAGTCTATTTAGTTTTTTCTGTAAAATAAAAGACACATTTTTCATTTTAACCAATAACTTCATTGATTTGGGTATTTTGAGTATGTCAGCTATCTCTCGTGTGGTAGAACTTTGACTGGTCTCAATTAATGTCTTGATTTGATTGCTGTCAACTTCAACCGTCTACCTGACCATGGAGCATCGTCCAGTGAGAAATCTCCAGCACAGAACTTCGCAAGCCACTTTTAACATGTTCCATCAGTCACAGCACATTCTCCGTATACTGCACAAATCTTTTTTTTGCATTTCAGTTGCATTTTTACCTCTTGAAATAATAAAGCCTAATATGCTGAAAATGTGTATTTTCTTCCATCTTTGATATTAAAATGGCTACACAAAAGTTCACCAATTTTGATAAGTTTTTAAAAAATGCACAGTGATATGACATGCAATCTAACAGACTGCAATGCAATCTAACAAAATTGTTTTGAATGAAGTTAGAAACAATGAAATGTTATGATGGCCATCTTATGGAAAAAACAAAGTTTTTGACCAACCCAATATATTGGTCTCATGTGGTTTGGTCAGGGTCAGCCTGTCACTGTTAGTATGATGATCTCAGCCAGTATTAGTAACACCCACCACTGGATCAGAGGGCCAGACCTTAGACCAAGGTCAGTCAATGGAGGTGCTGCCCGACAGGTCCAGTCAATAGCCAGCTGACCCAGAGACGAACAACACTGCCATCAACACACACCTTCCTGCCACTGGAAAGGATTTACTTGAGCTTTACTTTTCCTGCTAGACTGTTCTTTGAAAGCAGATTTCCTGTCTGATCATTTCTGCTTGGGCCCAACAGAGTGCACTGAACTCTAGGAGTTCAGTCTCTATTTGTGGGATGAATAAATGAAAAGGTACTAAGCTTCATTAGGATTGAATTTAAGCCTTTGGGATTAGGGTTTAAGTATCACTGTTATATGAAAAAAGAATCAGATTACAACTATCTTGTTCCAGTGTCCTTCCACAGGGCTGACGGCACCCTGAAAACAAATGTCTCAGCTGAGTTCAATCAGAGGAAGGGCAGTAGATATTCATGGATTTTAGTTGCCCAGCTTCCATACCCCTCTTAGCAGCAACTGGTTTCCTTGTGGCAAGCCCCCTCTTTCACACCAGGTGCAGCCTTGGTGAGAGAGCAGTTCTAGGAACCTGCCTTTGCCTCCAGGAGCAGAGGAGCACCACACACTCTCTTCCCACCCCCGGTAGTTACAGGGAGTGAGACTATGCCCTAATCCTGGGTAATCAGGCCCCCTGGATCTTGAGAAAGCAGTTCAAGGAGGACCAGCAATGTAGCACACACCAACATACTCCCCATCCTACATGCTCCTCTTGTGACATGCACACTCATCCATCGAGAGGCGGGTGTGTTCCCTTGCCTTCAGTCTGAAAGGACCTTTGCAGATCCATACAATATGGCAGAAGTGACAGTTGTAGAGGGCAATAAGGCTTCCACCTAGACCTGCTGAATTGCTCACTCTGGGAAGAGCCAGTCACCCTGCGTGAGGACACTCAAGCAGTCTTGTGGAAAGGCCCACTTGGATCAGAACTGGGGCCTCTGGCCCCAGCCAGCACCAACTTGGCAGCTACAACAGTGAACCACCTTGGGCAGATCCTCTAGCCAGCCAACATACAAATGCAAACACGTGAGAGAACCCCGAGCAAGATCTGCTGGGCTGAGCCTTTCCCAAATTCCTAACCAACAGATACCAAGAAAGATAACAGACAACTTGTTATTTTAAGCCACTAAGTTTTGGGGTGATTTGTTACATGGCATTAGGCAGTAATATAAACTGGTAGGGGCCAGTTTTTATTGAGGATGCAACAACAGGCGAGGTGGCGGTGGTGACAGCTAAGGAAGTGGCTGGGCTGGGCAAGGACTGCCCAGTCTGTCCTCGCCACCACGGGACTGCTGTTCAGCCTCCTGAGTCCTGCTGGGGGGTCCTCCAGAGTTCCCTTGGCTCCTGTCACTCCTGAGCCTGGTTCCCCCTTAATTTTGTGGGCCCCTCTACTTGCCATTCCAATTGTAATCCAATAAACCATGTTCGATTTATCCAGACACCGCTTAAATTATCCAGAACTGGTCTCCATTGCTCACAACCAAGAACCTTAACTGACACAGGGAGTTAGCACGGACCATTATGGGCCAGGGCTGAGGGCGGGTGGAAAAAGGCAACACAAAGGGGAGGAAAAAGGGATAATATCATAGTCTCACCAAGTACATAAAGACTGATCCTAACTAAGCAAAAAATGAAGTAATACAAAAATGAACAGTTTAAGAATAACAGCAGACACTTAATTGGCACTTATTAAGTACCACACACTGTTCTGAGCACTTTATATAACTTTCACTGCAACACTCTAAGTATTATTATTTGCCCCATTTTGCAGAGAAGAAAACTGAAGGCCAGAGAGGTCCAGAGAAGAAAACCCTGGCCTTGGCCAGGCAGTCTGACCCCAGCACGCCGGCTTGTCACCACCCGTTCAGTGTCTGCGCGACAGACACTGGGGAAAGGAGGGCTTCGCAGCGCTGCCCTGTGCTGGCTCTCAACGGTGACCTGCCGCTCAGTCTACTGAGCTCAAGCCAGGGGTTTTTGCCCAGCACAGCATTCAATACCAAATAGGTGACCAAACAGACACCTGTGAAATGGAATGACTTTTCTGTTACATTTCTCTACTGGCAGGGGCAAATCACCCCAGAAAACTGGGGGTCTATCTGCATTTATGGGTGAGGCCAGATTCACAAGATCAGGACTGTAAACATGTGACCGCCATGGTCCCCCCCACACCTGTTAGGTATGAGGGTTCCCTTAGCTGAGCATAAACTTTCCCCTTTCTCAGAAGTCTGGTGTCATTTCCCCCGCCCTTCCCAGTTCCCTCTTCCTCCCTTAGTTCCTCGTCCCAGGCTGCACCCGCCTGTTACCTGTGCCAAGCTTAGCGAAGACCTGCATGGACTCATCAAAACGCTTCTGGCAGAAGAGATTGAAGGCATACAAGTTCTTGATATGATGGATCTGTTGTTGCTTTTCGCTGTCGGAATCATCTTTCATTTCCTAATAAGAGTAGAACAGGTGAGAGCTCACTCACTTGACAAATATTTACTCAGTACGTACTACTTATTAAGCAACGTCCCAGGAGGTACAGACGCCAGCATGTACAGACAGCCACCTGGTATCTGTCCTCACACTGCCTTTCCGGCCTGACCGTAAGACTGATGAGCAACTATGCAATTAAAATGCACCAAGGTCTCCACAGAATGTACCCGACCGGTGTCCCTGAAAACTACTGAAGTCACAAAATGCAGAGAAAGACTAAAGAACTGTCACAGATCAGAGGACACGAAGGACACGTGACAACTAAATGCAATGTGATTTCTGGATTTAAACCTAGAGCAGATTTTAAAAAGGAACAGTAATCAAAAAACTTGCAAAATATGAGTAAAGTCTAAGTTTAGTTTTAAAACAAAAAACCCATCCTGGCTGGCATAGCTCAGCGGATTGAGCTCGGGCTGCGAACCAAAGTGTCGCAGGTTCGATTCCCAGTCAGGGCACATGCCTGGGTTGCAGCCCATGACCCCCAGCAACCGCACATTGATGTTTCTCTCTCTCTCTCTCTTTTTCCCTCCCTTCCCACTCTAAAAATAAATAAATAAAATCTTAAAACCAAAACCAAAACCAAAACAAACAAACAAAAAAAGTCCATCAATACAAAAACAAAACAGGGTAAGAGGAATGGCGAGCCCCTGGGCAGGGCATGCAACTCAGTCTGAGCAGTGGGTCTGAGAGGCATTCTCGAGAGAATGAACCGGAGGCGTAGAGAATGAGCTGGGCTTCGCCAGGCGAGGCCAGGCGGGTGACAGACGGCATGGCAGGCACCGAGTGTCCGCCAAGCAGAGGACGGTATGCGGGCAAGGCCCTAAGGTGCCAGAGAGAGAACCCGGCGTCGTGCTCAAGGAATAAAAGACACCTAACACAGCTGGCATAGTGGGCCGAGGTCTTGTTCTCAATTATTTTACTATCGCTGTGTCTTCCTCACAACCTTTCCCCCACCACTAATCTCCCTTTTAACCAATCTTTAGTAAATTTAAATTCTTCCTTCAAAATGCGTTTCCATTCCTTCGCTCTCCTTTTCTCTCTCTCGCCTTCCTCCTGGTCCAGACAGACCGTCATCGTGTGGCGGCCCCTGGTCTCAGCTCTCCTGCCTGGCGCTGAAGGGCTCTCAGAACCTGGTGCGGCTTCCTCATCTGGCTTATTCCCAGACATTCCGGCTGTGCCCTCCACTCCAGTCGGGACAGGCTCCCAACAGCACGGGGGAAAGACTTGTTCCCACCTCTTTAACTTCCTGGGCTCTTCAGTGTTCCCTGTTTCCTACTCCTGATCCTTCAAGGGTCCGGCAGTAAGATGCCTTTCCAGCCCTCAGAAAACTGTCCCTTCTCTCACATTTTGCTCCACATTTTGTCAACACTGAAGTGTGTATATTATTGCCCTCTGAAAGTCGCATATATATTCTTTGACTTACTTAAATAAAAGAGCTTCCTCAAGAGCTAAGATGTTGTCAACCAACCTTGTAAGTACAAGCCTAGGGAAGAGAAGAAAAAGTGGGAGCCCATTTCTACCTTCCCTACCGAAGATTACATAGAAAACCTGCATCAGGAAGGTCGCTGAAAAGATCGGAGACCTTCCTTCTTGCGAAGAAAAATATAGATACTAAAGAAGCTCTGTACTGCGTGATATACCCTTTTTCATTAAATTCAAAACTAAATACATATTCTAGCATACATGTAAATCTTTTGTTTAATCTTTTACATACACATGTGTAAAGTTCTTTGTAAGTTCTTGGGTAGGATGGTGGGTTCATAGGTATTCATTAATTTAAAACTAAAAATAAAATTAAAAATATAGGGCAATGCAGGAGTGGAAAGTAAAATAATAAGATGCTGAAATTAAATGTCCCAAGAAAGAAATAATGGGATATTAAACATGTCCAATTATTAAGACTGGATTTTTTGTTTCAAATACAGAACTCATACATCCAAAATAATGTTGCTATTCAAAAGTATTCACCATGTGACTATAAGCACATGTACATCACAATTTATGACTTTTGCTTTCCTCTCAGAAATAACTTACAAGACAGTCTAGAAATTAAGTTTTCCTACTACTGTCTTCATAAATATTTCTCCTCTTTTGCCAAATTACCACCACCTGGTTTAATGGCTAGGCAAGGTTCAGAATGACCTATGGTTGTTTCCCAAAATCAAGCCCACCCTCTACAAGTGACAATAATCACCTCTGGTGATGTTTAAAAGAACCGGACAAGCCTCGAAAGTCAGTGTCCAAGAAGCCGGCTGGCAATGGGAGCCCGGCTGGAACCACAGCATGGTCATCACCTTGCTGGGAACATCGTCCCATGCGAACATTCAAGGACAGTGACAGTTGTAAACATAGAGGCGCTGCCTTGTGGAATGCAGCAACCTGAGGTGGCAGCAGGGCACCGAAGGCAGGCCTGCTTTTCCAAACAGCAGTCCGCTGCTGAAAGGGACGCCAGGAGGCTCTCCAGTGGCTGCATGCACCCAGATTTACAACTAACGTTTACAACTATTATTTTACTCCAATGTTTGCATTGTGATTGTTCAAGGCCAGACCATATCAAATTATTTTATTCTATTCATTCTATGAGGTACTATAATTATAATCGACATTCCTTCTTAGATGTGCAAACTGAAAGAGTGAAATCACTTAAAGTTACATGGATACATAGTGGTGGGAGTCAGGCCCTGAATTCCAAGCAACCCTCAGACTTTTGGCTCTGTGCTTTTCTACCACTTGAAACCAAATATGACAAACTAAACCCGAACTGCCTATTTGGAGAACAATGAGAAAGGCAGGCTCACACCTAAATCTGAGAAACAAGACTTACGGCAAGCTGCAGAGCCAATTCAAACTGTTTGTCCTGGAGCAGCTGTTGGATTTGGGTTGCCATGGGGACAGGAATAAGTCTCCAAACAAAGTGATTGCTGGCCACATAGATAATGTTTGATCTGGAGGCAGGAGTAAGAATATCAGCAAAACAGCACAGGTTTTATGAGGATGTAGGTGTCTTTCAAACGTTGCAATAATATGGTAGCGGCAGTAAAGAATGAAATTCCTTACCCTCCTGAGGTGATGAAACGGGGCCTTTGCAATTCAATGCTCTGGACCAGAAGCCTCGGCTCGAGTGTTCGGATTTCCACGTATCGCGGCAACACTGCAATGATGTAGGGAGGCTGGTGCTCTGTGCAAAGGAGAACACCCTGAGCTGTGGTTCTGATCTAAGGGTTTAGGTTCTGGACTGTTGGCTGCCCATTTCTAAGCTGCATTTGAGTGGGATCTCCCAAAAGCCCACTGGTCAAATACCAAGCCAGGGCCCTACAATGTGATACACAAAGATAAAAAGATTTTTCACCTGAGTGACACTAAGAGAAATCCCTTGCACAAAAAGGATGCTCCCAGCTTTGCTGAGAGTGGCCCGGTCCCACTCCTACCATTTCCCCCAAAGAACTGGGCAGAAACTTCACTTGTTCCTTTCTCATCAGTCACAAAGCGAGGCAAGAGGAGGGCAACTTCTTTTTTTCCTAAAATTATGCTAAAGAAAGAGTTCCACATTTCTGGCCAGTGTTGTCTCTGATTGAGATTTTCACAGGGAAGAAATGCAAAACTCCACTTGATGTTCAACAGCTTAGAGAAGGCAGCTGGACTGTGCTCTCAGCGCAGCTGTTTTTCACTACTTCCGTGAGGCATCTAGAGTGTCCAGTTCATAGACAGGAAGTAGAACGACTGTTGCCAAGGGCTAGGCGACGGGGCCAACGTGTTGCTGCTTGACGGGTGCAGAGCTTCTTTCAGTTTTGCAGGATGAAAAAGTTCTGAAAACTGTTGCATGGCAATGTGAATATATGTTAACACTACTTAACTATACACTTAAAAATGGTTAAGAAGGGAGACTTTACGTTGTTTTTTTACTACAATTAAAAATAGAATTTTAAAAAGTAGCAAAAAATGAACCACAAGATGACATACTTGACATACAGAAATTTAACCTTAAAGAATATACCACAGGCATGGAAGCACTGAACAGACCAGAGGGGTCGGGGGAGGGAGTAATGGTGGAAAGTAGGGGAAGGGACTAGACAAAGAACCTGTACATATGGCCCACGGACATGGACGACAGTGTGGGAATTGACTGGGAGCTGGAGGGTGGGCTGGGCAGAGGATAAGGCAAATGGGGAAAAAAATGGGACAACTCTAATAAAGTAACAATAAAAAATGATTTATAAAAAAAGAAAACTTAAAAAAGAATATATTCACAAGAATAGTTTCTTAGTGGGCTAACTTGCTATGAATTAATTTACCTCATTTTCTATTTTCTGATAAAAAGCTTTTCATTTTGTTTTTGAAAGTTATACTCTAAATGAATAGTACAAAAAAAATGTAAGGCCAGGAGGGAACTCAGAAATGAGCAAACTGAAGCCGAAGCAATATTCCTAACAATTAGAATGCTGTTGTTTCATCTTACCCAAACAAAAAAATTAAAATAAAATAAAAAAACTGTTGTTTTGGCCCTGGCTGGTGTGGGTCAGTGGATTGAGCACCAGCTTGCAAACCAAAGGGTTGCTGGTTCGATTACTAATCAGGGCACATGCCCGGGTTTCGGGCCAGATTCCTGGACGGGGACATGCAAGAGGCAACCACACAGTGATGTTTCTCTCCCTCTCTTTCTCCCTCCCTTCCCCTCTCTCTAAAAATAATAAAAAAAATCTTTAACAAATTTTTAAATGTTGTTTGGTATTGGATTTTAACATTTTCTTTTAATGCTGGCGTCATTTTAAAAAGCTTGTATGATTTTCCTTAGTGTTAATTTGCATAGATATGTAAAATTTCTGGTTCCTTTTTAATCTTAAAAAAGGCCTGATTTTATTTAAAAAGGTATCTTTAATAGAAACCCTGTTGGCTGTCATATCTGATTTGTTCAGTGTCCCCAAATCTTCAGCGGTGTTTCTCAAAAACAAAGATGCTCTGGGTCTCGTTGCACCTTCAAAACTTGGCTGAGTGGCTAGTGCAGCAGACATCTGACACCTGGCTGACGGTGACAGGGATTTGTCACGTCCACAAGCATTTACTAAGAGGCCATGCTTCAGCACTACCCCAAGTGGATCAGGACACGAGCCCGGAGCTCACAGAGCTCCTACACTTGCAGAGACGAGGCTCAGTGAGTGCAGTGGGACAGTGTGGGAGCCGGGAAGAAACCTGAAAGGGCTCTCGAAGCAACAAGAGAGAAGTGACTACTCCTGCCTGCAGCTCGGAGAAGACTCCACAGAGGAAGCATCCCTGACCCGGGCCTTGTCACAGAGCAGCACGCTGCTGGGTGAGAAGAGAGGAGAAGGCAACAGTGCAGACACTGGCAGTGAGTGGGGGTCCACAATGCTGGGGCCTGGCGGAAGCAGTCAAGATGAGAGCAGAAACACAAATAAAGTTTAAAATGGACACCATTCTAAGAAGTTGTCTTCCTCCTGTCAGATGGTGATTCTCCCACCCTACCTGGGAGGAGTGTCCTCTCCTTCAATAGGTTAAGGACACAAACAGTTTTGAGAAACACCACTAAAGACACTGGGCACTGACAAAGGCTTTAACACAGGAACTCTCACCCTGGGGAACAAGAAACATACTTCAAGCATACTACCCACATCTTCATCTAATCTACCGACGTTCTTCTGGAAGGAAAACAAGGGCCCTTAGAACACCATGAAGCTTCTTGTGAAGCTCTCAGCCCCTCAAACTCATTAACACATACAATCTTGGGTCTTGTAAAATACTGTCCTTTTGATTGATCCTCCTTCTGGTCTACCAATGTCTAACCACCATCAGAATAACCACTGTAGAACTTGATGCTTTTATGAAAACATTCTACCATCAGGGAATCTGCTGGACTCTCCATCCTTCATGTGGGCCTCTGGCCCCAGCCTTATTGCTCCATAATTCAGACCGCCTGGTTTAGCCAGCGCAGTCTCCGTCATGCCCTCTCACAAATCAGCATGTCTTCTACGTTTCTCCTCATTTTTCAAAGTATTCTGTCTACCTAGAGTGAAAGGTAATTATTCTGTAAGCCAGATCCTAAATTCCCGGCCTGGTCTAGTCCAGTCTTATTGATGTTATGAAGCTACTTCCTGACTAATGAGCAATGAACATCCCCCCTTTCAGAACTACTGAATCTCAATTTATCCAATTTAACATCTTAAGCAGTGCCTTAAGCACTTTTTCTCTTTATCCAAAAGTTAATTTTTATCTCCAGGTTTAGAGTCCTTAAAGTCAACATGCCCCACTCTGCAGCAGTGACTATCACCTACACACTCATTCTACCAACAGCAATGCCTTCACAGGGAGCTGGGAGCCTGAGGCAAGTGTAAGGCTGACATGCCTAGTGCATAGGGCGGAGACGGACACCTGAATAAACGCAGTCTGCACCTCTAAGCTACAAAAACAATGGCAATAATCACCACATATAAAATGCCTCTAATACTGAGCTATATGCATTACAGGAATAAATAAGGAAGTCCTTATTTCCACTATATGGCAGAGGACACATTAAAAAGGAACTAAGAAGTAAAAAAAGCGGTCAACAATTACAGTACTTCTAAAATGCATAATTCTGTTTAGATTTTTCCCTCTTTGGAGAGAAAAAATCAGCTTCCTACAAAAAAACAGAATCCTATTTTTCATAACCCTACAACAGTCATCTACTTATAAGAAGGGGAACCAAGAGTCACTGCAACCATAAACCACAGTCTGCTACAGCTATGAACGGGATTCCCTTCTTCGAAGGTGGCTCCCACCCCAGCCCGGAGGGGGGGCAACAGCAGCTGCTGCTGGTCTCACCCATGGCCACTGGTATATCCGTCCAGTTCAGGGCACACTTCTGCGTGCAGATCCCCTCCTCGTTGAGCACCACGGTGAGATCGTCCTGGCCCACGGCCACTTTTCCGTCTGCCAGGGGTGCAACCAAGGGCTCCAACTGTTTTCCTGTTGGAAAGAGCTCTTTGATAGCCCCCTTTCCATCCACCTACAGGAAGACACAAAGTGAGTTGCCCAGCATTCTCTGGCCAGAGGCATGAACATAGTCTGGAAAAATCAAGATAAAACTCAAAACCTACAGAAGCCAATAACAGTCCTTGCGTGGCATAAGAAAATAGATAACAAATAGAATTTATTGTGAAACATTTTGTCATCACTACGCAGAACCAGCTCTCTTTTTCTCTAACACAGAGACAATGCCTAGTGCTGGCCAGGATGCAGAGCAACTGGGACTCACACGCTGCTGGTGAGAGTGCAAAATGGTACAGTTGTTCTGTTAGTTTCTTTTAAAGGTACACATACACTTGAGATGCAACCTAGCAATCTTATCACTAGGCATTTGCCCAAGAGAAATGGAAAGTTAATTTCATTACACAGAAAACCTACAGGCAAACGTTTATAGCAGCTTTATCAGATGGCTAAAAACTGGAAACAACTGCCTGTCACCTGATGCATGAATAAACAGAGTGTAGTCCTTTCATACCATAGACTACTGCTCAGCCATAAAAAAGAATTAACTGACATACAACACATATGAATGTCACATGCATTACGCTAAGTGAAAGAAGCCAGACTCAAAAGGCTCCCTACTATATGATTCTACTTATATGACACTGTAGCAAAAGCAAAACTATAGGAGACGAAGAACATTATTAGGGTTGGAGTGGGTGAGGAGGGATTGACCTCAAAGGGGCAGCATGAGGGAATTCTGGGGGTGACGAATCTGTGCTGTTGATTGTGGTGGTGGTTACAGAGCTCTAGGCAATTTGTCAGAATTCACAACTGTATTATGAAAAAAGTGAATTCTATGGTATGCAAATAAATGAATGACTTTTGAATATCCTGGACCCATCACAAGACTTCCCACCCCCAAATGACTGGACCCTCAGGAAGGCGAGGAAACACCCACGGCTGTCAGGCCATGGGACTGCTCCGACATCTGGCGGTCGCCTGCCCTCGCAGGCTCTCTGAGTGCCGCTATGCCTGATGTTACTCAGTCAACTGCCAAGTGACTCCTTTATGAGTTTGCAGCTGTGATGCTGGTGAAATCAGGATATTCCAACAACACAGATAGGGAAAAAATGTATGAACTAGATAAACAACGAAGGGCTAACAGTGTGGGGCAGAGAAGTAGGGAAGAAAAGCTTCTGGAATGCCAAGTCTGGATTATGAGAGGGGTATGAAGCAAAGAAACTTGGAATATTCTATGAAATGAATGGTATATCAAACTTTTTCTATAGTTGTGTGCATATAGTGTGCATTTTGGAGAAAAAAGACCAATTTTGTGGATATTTACTGCTTAGGTTAAAAGAAAAAGCAGGTTATAATATATAATATAATACATATATATGTATAACATGGGATTTTTATAAATAGGGTGGAAGCCCATTTACCAAAGGGGTGACAGTGATTATTTTTTGAGGGGGTGGGATTTGTACCACTTTCATTTTCCTTATCTATATTTTCTTATTTTCTATAATAAACATATGTGGCTTTTAGACTTTAGAAAAAAAACAGTGAAAATAATTTTTAAATCAAATACACTAAAAGATTTTTTAGGGGGTGCAGAAATCTCAAAGTCTTTAACATACGTAAGTGAATACTAAAATTAGTTTACAACCCCCAAAAACTGAGGCCTGAAGACAGCAGTCCACGAGAATGCTCTTGGACAGAGGCAGGCGGCCCTAACCATCTGTTCCAATAATGAGATACAGCGTGTGGATGATTCATTGTGCAGAGAAGTGAGAGTTGACTGCCTGGCTTAAGATTCACGGATCTCTTACTTGTGGAAGACACTGAGAGCATGAAAAATGAGCAAACATGTGAACACAAACCTGTTATGTGAAAACCCTACTCAAGGCCGTCTCCCGACTCACACTCCAGGAGCACACAGTCATCTCCCCCAAGACAACTGATGATATTGGCAAAATAACCATTTTTACCCTTATCAGGTAGTAGTCTCTCTTGAAACCCACACAGATAGAATTTTCACACCATGCCATGGACTTGGGCACATCTGGTACACTAAAGTCCCCCTGAAGAAAGAGAGCAAGAGTTTAATTGGAAAATGTTAAAAGAAAAAAGCCACGACCTTCCTTCTGTTCTGCCCCTATTCTGCAGAATCACCCTCGTCCTCATCTGAATTCAATTCTAGAAGAACAAGACCAGGAAACCACCCATAATAAAAATATAGTCAGATCTTGAATAACACCATTTCCTTCAACATCGTTTTGTTATAATGTGACGAGATGGTGTAGGAACTTAACTCTTGTTTATATCAATTAGCCTATTTGGTTCTATGTTGTTTTGCTTGAAGTTGCAGAATCTATTGATGTTAAGTGAGGACTTACTGTAAGTCACCCAAGTACTGGACAACGTGTATTTGGAAAAGGTGAAAACACACTTTGAAATAAATCAATCTATACAGACACTGAACAATTGTATTGCTGCCACTTCTGAAGACCACGTGGCTTTGACCAGTGGGTATGAACACACTCCCGTGTACACACAAGGCAGTCACAGCTGAGTGCCCATCTGGCGAGAACTGCAAGCCTGAGCTCCTGGCCTTCACTACAACTAAACCATCACCCTTTCAAGCTATGAGTCAACCACAGCAGCACCTCCCACCGAACCCATGGACCAGGGAACAGTGGACTTTACCTGCAATTCATGAAACTCCCTGTCCTTCCAGAAATAGAGCTGCAGCTTCTTTTTCACAGCTACACACATCCGTAACACCTCCTCGCCAGTCTCTGAGTGCTGGGAAGACACACACGGAGCAAATGAGGATGCACACACAATGACTCTATGACTGAATGACAGCTAGATCAGAGATTTTCCACCTTGAAATGGTACTAATCTGAAATCCCCTGAAATACTAAGTCCCGCTGCCAGACAAGCTGAGCTGAAGAACACCATCCTCTAAGATACACTCAGAAACAACAGGCTGTGGGGCACTTCTTCCCCACGGGCTGCAGGTCAAAGGCCCCCACACCTTGTGGAGGTTCATCACCTACAATACATAACAGCTTCCTCCTTTTCTTTCTTAAATGTTTCTCACTCATGGCTGGCAATACACGCTGGGTCAGAGATCAGCATGCGTCAACGACCACTTTTGATCCTTTAAAGGAGACTTGGGGAAAAAAACGTCTACACATAAAACAATGCAGTTTCGATGCAGACCATAAATGCTAAAAAGTGTTCAAAGCTGGAGGTAAGGCAGATTTTGAAGAATGTAGGGGTGATGAACTGGCAAAAATATGGAGAAATGTCTTTCCTGAAAAACAAAAACTCTCTAAAGACAAAGACCACGATGATACACTTAGAACAAGAGTCAATCTAATGTCTCATAGTTATGTTCATGGTAGGGGTCACAGGTTAGACTTCCCAGTCATGGATTGTCCCCAACAGTTGTTGTGTCCTGAGCGAGTTGCCTCCTACCACGCAGACACTGGGCGTGCACAGACCAGGAATGCAGTATTTCAACTTCAGACTACATGCTCAGGGGGAAACTGCTCTAATACAACCCAAAATCAAATATTCTCTTTGAAGTCCCTGCTGGGTTTGGATATCAATGATATTCTTCCCATTTAATGGCAGAAAGGATACAGGTCAGACTGTCCTTATTAAAGCACAGAGTCGAACTTCATCTTGCCCGCACTTACCTGGAGGTCACACGTGAACAGAGACGCTCCCTTCGCCTTTGAAACCGTAGTGATTTGTTGAAATGTCAGTAGGTCATGGACATAAATATTATTTTCTGTTTAGAAGGAGGTAAAACATCACAATAAATTATGACAACTCTCTAGTATAGCCACCTTCAAGACAAAAAATAATTATAACTATAACAACCACAAGAACCAAATGGCAAAGTTGAAGATGTACCTTTAGTTTCACTAACATGGTTTATTCTGGTCTATCACCAGATTACACTACAAAACATTTCAGAGGCCAGTCTTCTGAACTTGGGTATTCTGTCCCTTTAAATTTGGGCTGGCTTGAATAAAAGAGCTCTTTCACTTCAAAAGCACTCTTATACTCTTTCTTAAGTCTGGAAATTTGTGATGTAATATTTGTACAAGAAATGGCTTTCAAAGCTACTTACATTAGGAGGCTCTAATAAGAGAAAGGAAATCCCCTGTGGATTTTGTACAAATCTACCACAAGGATTTCTTTTCTGGTAAAGCAAGAAAAATAATTTCACTCGGGCCTCGTAGCTAACTTTTGTCCTAAGATTTAGTTACTTTAAGTGTTCCTCTATCAACCTAGAACCTAAGTTTAAAATGATTCTACCATTTGGGCCCTGGGCGGGACAGTACTGAGCATGTAGTACTCAAGTTTCCAGTCATCTGCTTGTCAAGAAAAGTCCTCACTGGCTGTCTTCCATGAAACTGGCTTTCACACAGGCCCTGAATGGCCTGGCCCTGATCTGTGTTTCACCTGTCTCTCGTCGCTCTCCACCACACAACCCAAGTCTAGCCAGGGCCTTTGCTGAAGCTGTTCCCTCTGCCTATGATGTTCTGCCTACCTCTTTCTTTCTGTCAAAATCCTCATCATCCACTAGATAACGCTGTCCCTCCCATTACTATATCCCATAGCACTTTTTATCACTTCCCACTGTAACTTTCTGCACTGTTCCATGATTACCGTATTTTTCCATGTATAATGCCCACTCACATTTTCAGTGGGCATTATACATGAACTCCTATACACAGGATTACATATTCATTATACCTATGTATGATGTGCATCCTTAATTTTCCCTCAAAAATGTGAGCAGAAAAAGTGTGCATTACACATGGCAAAATACGGTACTTTCTGTCATTTCAGTCTTCACAATCAGAATACAGGATAAAAACCGTCTCATTCAACTTGGTATTGCCAGTGCCTAGAGCGGGGCTCAACGAATATTTGCTTGATTACTGCATGAATGAATGAGTGAGTGAATGAAGTGACACTCCCTGGAGAACAGAGCTAAATTTCATCGGGGATGTTGCCGCCTGAGTGACCTGTGTGCCCTGTTATAACTGGTTTGGAACATGTCAGTTTCCTGGTTAAGTAATGCCTACCAAATTAACCATGAGAGAATTAATTAGGTTGTACCTTGTATTTTTTCACACATGAAATACAATCATAACCCCTTTTCTTACCTAACAAGCTGACTAGAATCTTAAACTGGGAAACCACATGGATCTGAAAAACAGCAAATCATTAGACTCAGTTAAACATTCTTGGCAAGGTTTAGCTCAGACGTTCACTTTACCACGGCACTAAAAAGAGATTGAAGGGCCTATACCAATGACAGGGATCAGACTTATACTCATGAGCAATCATAACTTCTGCCTGTGAAAGGATCTCAGGCACATGATGGGTGGACAGAGATCCCTGCATAAACTGGGAGGACAGAGCAGAGGACTCAGAGTTAAATGATGTTACCCAAGTTCTAGGTTTGACAGGGTCTTTTAGAAGTCAAATATAAATGTAGCAACCACCACCTCTGCCTACCTGCTGAATCTTTTTGGAGAAGTTCTTATTGGATTTCTCTAGTGTCACTTCAAACCTGTTGCAGCCTACGGAAGAGAAACATTCACAGTTCCAAACACAGGGATACAATACAAATAACCACAACAAAAAAAGGCTGCTCCATACTGCTCTCCTACATGAATCTTTAAAAATTCCTAAAGGACTAGAAGTGGGAGATGTAGGAGAGCCAGCTGTCTCCATTGCATATAGTAAATTGCTTTCAACTCCAGTTTTAGAACAGAGGATTTCATGCACTTGGCATTAGCAGAGAGTATCACACAACAGAAGTTTACTGAAGCTGCAAGGTACTTGTGAGTCTGAAGATCTTTTCCTACCAAACAGTACCTTGGCAAAGTATTTCACAAAAAAAGAGTGTAAAAAGTAACAGTCAAACGTAAGAGCCCAAGCAATGAAATCCAGCCCAAAGCATCCTTAGATCCAGACCCAACTGAATCCCAGCCACTGCCTGAGGTCCTGGGACAGAGCAAACACACTCGACACCTTCCCCAGAGCTAAAGCGGTTTAATGCATCTACACTTACTGCCACTTTCAGGTGCTGCCACGTCTGCTGGCACTGTTGCAAAAAAAAAGGGGGGGGAGTTATATACCATAGAAATGCATGAAGCCAGCCTTGCTGGGATGACAAAAATACTCAGCCTCAAAAGTCACCAGAACGTAAAAACAGAAAATAGTTAATAACAGAAGCTATCATTAATTGGGTTTAAAAATATGTTTTCTGTAACCTCACAGCTACCCCCCAAGAAATAGGTAATATTACTATTCTGATTTCACATCTGAGGCATCTGATGGGTCAAGCAATTAGGCAGCAACCAGGTGAAAAGACAGCCCAGAAGCATGCTTAGGGCTGCCTGGAAACCCGGGGCAGGAGGCCACACCTCCCAGCAGGAGAAGAAACTGTTCACAGTGCTGACCCCGGCTGCTCCCCATACCCAGGTGGTTTCCTGCCCACTCAAAGTCAGTGGAGATTCTTTGAGGCAGCCCCCAGGGCCCATGCCACCAAAGCTGTTCATACTTCCTCCACATGGGACTCAGCAGAGAAGACAAAGAAAGGGGCCCTGAAGTTTTGGGAGATTCAGAAACATGCTGTGTATTTCTCCACTGTATTTCACAAGAAAAAAAATAATCCAGCCACTTCCTGCTTGATAAAGAGTTCTCTATTTGAAAAAGGCTTTATTCTTACTTCTTTAAAAAAATACTTCTAATGATTCTCTTTATAAGCTTCATGTTCTAGGGCAAAGATTCTCAATGTTCTTAGGACCCTTCACAATCTTAAAAATTACTGAGGACCCCAAGGCTTTTATGTGGGTTATAGCCACCAATACTTATCATACTAGAAATTAAAACTAAAAATTGTTTAACATATATTATCAACTCAAAAATAACAGTAATAAACCCATCACATTTAGCATAAATAGCATGTTTCAATGGAAAAAACTGTTTATCCAAGTTAAAAAAAAATCCACTGTTTTACATTTTTGCATGTCTGGATTAAAAGAAGACAGCTAGACTCTCACATCTGCTTCTGCACTAAGTCTGTTTCAACACATTGTTTTGGCTGAAGCACAGAACACACGCCTGGCCTCACACGGGCATGGAGTCAGACAGGGAAGAATAGTTTAACAGCTTTTCCAGATAAAGTGCAGATCATCTTTTTGAGACTATACCAAAACTTGACAAATGAAGTTTCTTACAATGTGAAATCTGAAACCTATTAATGAACTTTTCTGCTAAAGTCCACTGGTCTATCTTACACTTTGAATGGATCTTTCCCTCATGATTCAGAAACTTCGTGCCCTGGAAAACACTAGCTCCCTGAGCGATGCAGACCCCCAGTGCCGGCACACTTCTTTCCAAGACGCATATGCAACAAACTCACACTCATCACCCCTCCACAGTCCCATCAGAAAAACCCTCAGTATCGAGAAGCTGTCAAGCTCATGGGAGTGGATATGAGTTTTCCACAATTCTAATTTTCTCTCGAAAGCCCTAACTTTTTCATTAGCAATAAAAACTGCCAGTTTTCTTTGTAAGTGACAGGCTCCCTTTGCTCATGTTTGAGAAAATATCTACCAAATACCCAAGTGGTCTGAGAAACCACAGTCTACCCGTCTGTCATTCTTGTAAGCAGGAACAATGCTCCATGAAAAAAAAGTGGCCAGTTCGGCTCAGAACTCAGACACACAAGCACTTTTCCAACCTGAGCAGGTACTGTGCCCCATGGCTTGGCACCTGGCAGAGGAGCTTTATGTGAACTTCCCATTACATCAGAGATTATTAAAAAGATGTGTTCTCATAAGTCAAGGTATAATAAAATTAATAATTTTTACTGCCTCACAAAGAACATTCTTAAGTGAATTGACTTTAACAAAACCAAAACCACCTGTGGTGCATGCTAGAGAACACAACTGCCAGCGCAGTCTGGTGCTAACGCATTTGCTGACCATCATCTTGACCTTGTGCTGAGGGGCCAGCAGTTTCAGCGGCCATTACTTTTATACCTTTGGTGCAAATGTCAATAATTGTCAGTGAGAAAAAAGTAATGTTTTAGTGTTGCTATAAACTTATGTTTTTCCTTGCGGATCCTCTGAAAGGCCAACCTAAAGTCATAAAGACCGTCTGTGAACTAATCTAACCCCTTTGTTTTCAGACAGGAGCAGAGTGACGCTGAGAGACTTTTCTGAGCTCACAGGAGATGGCTCAGGTCAGATGAGGACCGGGTGTCCTTAACCCTGGTCTTTCCATGAGATCTTATGACCCACTCCCCTTCCTCAGAAAGACAGGCTAGTGGCAGACCTGCCTAGTTTGGAATATCTCAAACTTAGAAGCCAAGTTAGTTCTATGGCTGATTCACGGAGGCCCAGGTCTATTTCAGGCCCATAAACAGACCAGAGCTGGGCCAGAATTGAACTGCTCTCTAAGGATATGGGAAGAAGTAAAGTTTCTAATCAGGGTTTGACTTCCTAATAGTCCAAGGCAAGTTACTATCGGTATTTGAGCTGCCTATGGGGAAACTGAGGCCCAGGAAGATTAACTGACTTGTTAAAGGTGACATGGTAGACTGATCACAGGCCAAGGAACAGGCACCACCAGGGTTCCCAGTCAGGTTAACACTAACACTATCAGTTTGAGTCTACACTAGGTTGAACAATTTGTTTTTACAGTCTAATTTTCAATTTCTCACCACTTATAAAGAAATGGTACACAAACAAGTTGCTTTATCACAGTATTTATTTAGTATTTGATGGCACAAAGAACTGATTATCAATCAGGGAATATCAAAAGAATATCAGGACCTTATATCTGTGTCCTGCACAGTATCTGAGCCGTAAGTATATAGTCAAACACAGTGCTGAATGCTGAATAAAATCCAGGGCAAGCTAATTTTCAGACTGCAGCCTGGGTGGATGTCATAGGATGCAAATATCCTGGCTCTTAGAACAGAAATTTAAAGCAAGGGACAGCGAAGTGCTGCCGTGGGTCCAGTCCAGGCCTCGACATGTTTCTGTAACTGAGGTTTCATTGGCACACAGCCACACCCCTTCATTCACATTGTCTGGCTGCCCTTCAGCTGCAACAGCGGAGCTGAGTGATCCCAACAGAGATCGTACAGCCCGCAAAGCCTAAAATATTTATTAGCTGGTCCTTTTTGGAACAAGTTTGCTGATTCCCGATTTAAAGGAAAGACTTAGAAACACTTAGAAATGAAATAAATGCTCTGTTTTGAACTTCTGGTTTCTCTTGTTACCTTACCACAGACCTTGGCCAGATGTCTTCCTTTTCCTGTTGCACTTTGGCTTAAGAATTTTTTGAGCTGAAGGCAATTGAGAAGAAGCAGATATAAGAAAAGTTCTCTCTGCTCTCCTCCTATTTGCCTAAAGCAGGATATAAATGTACGAAACTGTCTGTCCTCTCCTCTCTAACAGGAAGGACAGAGTTTTTCTCCTTCCCTGCAGTTACTAGATGACCCCTATCAGCCCAGAGATGGCAGCAGAGGAATCTGCATAACAAACTTGTCTCCAATTAGCTCCCCCATATGTTTGCCTTCCCATGATTTGCCACTCTAAAAACGCAAGGCCTTTTCCTTTGGTCACTTCTCCAAACATCTATAGTTTGCTCATTAGGATGATGCAGAGGCCCAAGTTCTAATCATTCCTGAGTGCTCAAGTTATAAACCCCTACTCATTTTTCTCTTGTTAATCTGTCTTTCGTCGGTCTAACTTACACATCCCTAGCCAATGAACCTAAAATGAGTAGAGGGAAAAGTAATTTTTCTCCTTCCCTACACAGGTAAGGTATTCTTTCCTCCCAACGTTACCATTCTTTGCTCCAGGTTCTAAGGAGAAGGCTCTACTTCCATTTTTCCTTAAGCTATTCACTATAGAAAGTTATTTATTAGGGTGAAAGCTATGAACATTTTTTTCTAATATGGTCAAATAATGACAATTTCACATGGTTCAACCTACTATGGCATTAACAGCAGATTTCCACAGACTTGAAGCTCTAGGGCATCATATCCAAACATATCAATTTTCCACAAAGAAAGCACAGAAATAAAATTAGGAAAAGGAAATGAGGTGCTTTTTTGTGTTAGAGGGTACTTACACAGAGTTTCACATACTTTTTAGTTGCTATTCTATGTTTTTACTGACAAAGCCACAATTGATTAGAACTTTAGTTTTTAAAGTCCTTTCAAACATTTTATTGCATCTGACCCCAACAAATTTGTAAGGAAAACAGATAGCTCACGAGAGAGAACAATGAGATTAGAAAGGACCAGCTCCGTCAAGTGGTCAGAGAGAAGTGAAGCCGGACTCAAACCCCAGTCTTTTCCTCCTGGTCCACCCCCCTTAAGTTTGTAAGGTCGTTTAAATCAATGATTCCTAATTTTTTCTACTACCACGTTATTTACAGAAAAATATTATTCCCATAAGTAACATTTCTTATTTCTGGCAGCGAGTTTCCAAAAAATGAGGAGGGGAGGAACATCCAGTACCCCACAACCGCCACCCCCCACCCCATCCTCATGGGCATATGAGTGTATCGTCTGGAAGAAAAACAAAACCCTGGAGATTCTCACATGCTTCTCCCCACTTCCCCACCGGGCTGCTCCCGCCCCCCAGTCACTCCTTCCGTGGCCCAGAAGTCACTGATCTCATACCTGCATAATAGCCGACTACCAAAACTTTTTTTGGGCATGGATAGTAAGCCATTTCTTTCTCAGTTTTGGAAAGTCACCACTTACCAACGTCCTTCCGAATCCTATAGAGAAGAAGGTGTCCTTGTTTGGTTCCAACAAGAAGCCATTCCTCTGGAAAAGAAGAGAGCTGTGAGGAACACCGGCTTTCTTTATCTCGGGGTTTCAATCAGAACCTCGAGGTCAAGAAAGTGAGTTCTTTTTTATAGCAGGTGTTCTGCAAAGCTAATGAATGTTTATAGTCAAGAAATATTTGGGAATCAACTAATCAAAAATGCATTTATTCAACAATTACTAGACTAAACATATTAGAGAATTAAAAAGTCCCTGGCTTCATTGTTTCAAAATTAAACTGACCAAAAAAATATCACGGACGTATGTAAAATTGTAAAACGGATAGTGCAAACATGAGACTAGGTATCTAATCTCAGGAATAACAACTAAAAGGCAACCTCAGAAAGTCAATGATTTAACTTTTGGGAAAATAGTGTATTAAGTTTATGGAATTCATTATCTCAAAAGATGGTCTAACAGATAATAACAAGTGTTGATGAAGATGGGAATAAACTGGAACCCTCATACATGGTCGGCAGGAATATAAAGTGGTACAGTCACTTTGGAAAACAGCCCGGCAGTTCCTCAAGATTAAACGCAGGGTTACTACCTGGCCTAACAATTCCACTCCTGTGTATATACTTATGTCTGCACAAAAGCTTGTACGCAAACATTCACAGAAGCATCATCTGTAACAGCCAAAAAGTGGAAACAACCCAAATGTCCATCAACTGATGGATAAACAAAATGTGGCATATCCGTACGATGGGATATTAGCCAGCTATTAAAAAACTGAAGTTTTGAAGGGACGAATCCTGACATTATGCTAAATTTAAGAAGCCAAACACAAAAAGCTGCATAATGTGATTCCAGTTATACAAAATGTCCCAAATGGGCAAATCTATAGAGACAGAAAGATTAGTGGTTGGCTAGGGCTGGTAGGCTGGGGGGAAAAGGGGGATGAATACTAATGAGCTCCGGGGTTTTATTTAGGGTGATAAAAATGTTTTAGAATCAACTGTGGCTATACTTACACAACTCTGGGAACGTACTAAAACCATGGAATTTCACATTTTATTTTTTTAAAAGATTATTTATTTATTTAAATCCTTTATTTATTTATTTTTTAGAGAGGGAAGGGAGGGAGATAGAGATAGAGAGAGAAACATCAATGGGGGCTGTGGCCTGCAACCCAGGCCTGTGCCCTGGCTGGGAATCAAACCTGTGTCGTTTTGGTTTGCAGCCCGTGCTCAATCCACTGAGCTATGCCAGCCAGGGCTGTTTTTTAAAATTTTAATTGAAATTTTATTTGACCCTTTTCAAGCTTTGGAGGTGCTGAGAAAAAAAATGCCTTTATCATATATGCAAAGTAACAACTTCCCTTTAAATAGTAAAAGCACCACACACATACTCATTCCTAACCTTCAAAGTCATAACGAAAATGTAGTAACAGCACAGAACCTGGAAGAGGCTTGATTTGGTGACAGAATCAGTGGGGGCTCAGGTGGCCAGAGGGCCTGAGCCACAGGCGGCCTTCACATTCTACAACATGTCATATAACACAGCTGTACGTGCACAACACAGAGAATGAGACGCCTGCAGAGCAGGTGCAGCACAGGGTAAACAGTCCCTTCTGAGGCTCAACACCACACCTGAGGAAGTGGACCGCGCTGCACAAATAAGCAGCACACACATAAACAAATGAGAGCCAGCCCTAGACAGCTAGCTCCTGACAGCCTAACTCGGAGACACGAGGTTGGACTTGATCCCTCCTAGGAAGTGAGTGAGGCTGGCCCTTCTTGCTTATAATTACCCTACTGAAGCTCTGCCCAACAGTACAACCCAGTCCAACCTTACGTGATAAAAAATGCCATCCCTGGCCCAATGCTGGCCACTGCAGGGAATAAGCTAGTAGTCACTTCCCTTCACTGGGTCATGGAGCAAAGAACAGTGTTTCTCAAAGCATAAGTCCCCAATTAGCCACATCAGAATCACTTGGACTAATTAAAAATGCACATTTCTGAGCCCTGCTCCCAGAGATCCTGAGTCAGTGATTCTACAGTGGTGTCCTGAAATGTGTTTTAAAATCATTAGACATTCATGTAGTTCCAAACTAAAACTGAGAAATCTAGCTTCCATCCTTGTCCACATACCCTGTTCTCTCCCTTCTGTTACAGGTAAGCATTTTAGCAGTCTGTGATTTATCTGTCCATTGTTTCTTTGAATAATATAAGCAAATATGATTGTGTATATGCACATATAGATAACACACACAAATCTGCACTTTTTTTTTCATGATCTGAATATACATTAAAGTTTGGGAATCAGGCTCTAGAATCAGACATAATTTACATGACCTTGAAAAATTAAATTCTCATGTTCTTCCTCTGCAAAATGTGATTATTATTTTATAAAAGCTCAATATGATTAGCACTCAATAAATGGAAGCTATTACCATTAATGTTATTATTCATTAATTAAACTAATATTCAGTGGATACCCATTAGGACTCTGGAACTGTTCTAGGAACTGCAAATAGAGCAATATACAAAACAAAGTTCCTACTCTGAAGAAATTTGTATTCTAACAGGGAGTGAGAATAGTTAGGGAAGATATTGCTGATTTACGTGACATTTCAGCAGAGATCTGAATGAGAGAGGAACAAGCCATGAAATATCTAAGGCAAGAGCGTGCCAGGCAGAGGAAACAGCGAGTGCAAAGGCCCTGAGGTGGCTATGTGCACTGTGTTTTCATGGAAGACTGTGTGACTAGTACCAGATAGATGCAAGGGGTAAGAGCATAGGCGATAAAGTCAGGGAAGTAACCAGAGGCCTGATCATGTGAGATGAAGCCAGCCATGGAAAGGACTTCGGAACTTCTCGTTGTGATGGAAAGCTACTGGATGGCTCTGAGCAGAAAAGAGATGTGATCAGATTAATTTTTTGAAGGCTCACTCCACCTCTGTGTAAGTAAAAAATCTGAAAACAGCAGTGGCAAACACAGGGTGATCAGTAAGAATACCACTGTGGTGATTCAGATGAGAGAGGATGGTAAGCTCATCAAGAGTAGAAAAAGTGGCCCTGGCTGGCGTAGCTCAGTGGATTGAGCACGGGCCGAGAACCAAAGTGTCGCAGGTTTGATTTCCAGTCAGGGTACATGCCTGGGTTGCAGCCCATGACCCCCAGCAACCGCACATTGATGTTTCTCTCTCTCTCTCTCTCTCTCTCTCTCTCTCTCCCTCTTCCCTCTCTAAAAATAAATAAATAAAATCTTAAAAAAAAAAAGAGTAGAAAAAGTAGAGATGGAAAGCAATGACTGGACTGTAGACTTATTCTGGAGGTAGAACACACAAGATTTGCTGACGGACTAGATGAGGTATATAAGAGAAAAAGAGAAGTCAAGAATGATTCCAAGGCTTCTGACCTTAGCCAAACGGGTGAACAGAAATGCCATTTGCTGAGATATGGGATGCAGGGGGATAGGCATGTTTTAGGAGAATATAATCATCAAAAACTGTTCTGGCCGTGTTACTAGACACCCAAAACGAAGATGCATAAAAGGCAGCTGGATTCTCTGGAGTTCAGGGAGAAATCATCAGGAGTACCCTCCTCACTTCCATTCCCAGGAAACAGATTATGATGTGTCAAAGACATCCTCCAGCTCCAATACTGTCTGGCCCTGCATGAGCTGGATCCTGGAGGTTCCTGAATGAATGTCAGGTAAAAGGGGTAAGCACTAGAAAGAGTAATATTCATTGCTGCTTAAGTCTGAAAATAAAGTAGTTTTGAGGCAGGAGACGGTAAATGGCCTCTTGTAGCCCAATACCTATCACGGCATCCTAGTAGGCAACAGGTATTTCTCCTGTTTGGTGAGAGTTCAAGGCAGGTCAAAAGCTACCTAGCATTACAAAGCTGTCTTCCTGAAAAGCACAAGTATAGGGAGTCTTTACTGAGACAAAGTGGAGTTGTTGCGAGAGGCTGAGACATATGTACTACTAGGTCTACAGGGTATCAGAGTGAAGTGACGTGACAGGGTAAGTAGAGTGTGGTGAGCAGCTGCACTCATCCTTTTCTCAAGCGTATGTCCTAGGCAGATGGGTACCCTTCCTCATGTTTCCCTAATTGGCAGCATATGTCTCTGGTATCATTTATCTTGTATTGTAATCTGTTTATATGCCTTTGTCTCCCACTGTGTGTCCTAGAAGCACAGGCACTGGCACTGTGTCTTACTCATCCTTGCATTCCTGTCCCTAGCAGAGAGACTGATCTGTGTAGGCACTTAATACATATTTGATGAAGAAATACAAGAATGATTCCCTTTGTATAGTGTCAGGTCTTTTTAAAAGTTTTTTTTCTCCTCTATTTTTAATTCTGAGAGCATTTAATGATAGGAAATGGAGACCTTCTTCAGATATCTGAAGGAAGCAAGATTCTCTCTTTAACCAAAAGGACTAGGACAGCTTACTAGTGACGTAAGATATGATTTACATGGAGATATGATTTTAAAGAGGCTCAGGGCTGCTAAAGGCAGGAGGGGCAGACATTAACATGAAGATCTGTAGTGAAAGCACCCTACTGAAGAGGCTGTAAAGAACTCTGCAAGGCTGACTGGATGGCACTGTCCACAGATGATGCATATGATGTCAGCCACCACCAAGATTCCACCAGACCCATCACAAGGACTTAGCTCAGTATAAGATCTGGGTTAAGTGTTCTGGGCCACTTTTTTTATGGACCTTGATTTCTAGTACCTGGACATTAATAGGAAAGATTGAAATTATTTGTTTGGTCTTTGGTGGCTATTAGACACAACCAGTCATAGATAAGATCATAATGTTCATAGGTAAGAGTTAAAGTTTAGACCCGTAGAACCTTTTGTACCCTGACTGGTGTGACTCAGTGGACTGAGTGCCAGTCTGTGAACCAAAGGGTTGCAGGTTCAATTCCCAGTCAGGGAGCAGGTCTGGGTTTCGGGCCAGGTCCCTAGTAGGGGGTGTGTGAGGGGCAACCACACATTGATGTTTCTCTCCCTTCTCCTCTGTCTAAAAATAAATAAATAAAATCTTAAAATAAAAACAAACCCTTTTGTATTCCACAGTATACAAGAGGTAAGAGATGTCTGACCCTAGCCACTTTCAAGAAGATTATGTAAGTTTTTACCAGTTATATTTCATGACAGCCTGGAATGATGTTCTTCTACCTACCGAGCTAGGTAACTTTGGCACTTGAATATAAGACAATCAACTATTTGACTAGTCAGTGATTTTCAACCTTTTTCATCTCATGATACATAAAAACCAATTACTAAAATTCTGTGGCACAGCAAAAAAATGTATTTTTTGCTAATCTGACAAAAAATAGGCATAATTTTGATTCATTCACACAGGATGGCTATTGTGTTGGCTGTTGTTATTCTTTTTTTATTTAACAATCTAAGGGATAAGAGATCAGTGCCCCTAAGTAGGTACTGCATATTAGAAATTCTTGCAGCACACCAGCTGAAAATCGCTGGGCTAGATTAAGAATTTAGAGTAACAACGTGAGTTACCTACAATGGTGACAAGTGAACAATGGAGCGATCACTAAGGAAAAAAGGTGTATGTTGTTAACTTGTTAAATCCCAACCCTACCCACCACCAAACCAGTACAACACTTATTCTGGGTAATTTCAAGTCCCTGGCAGGCTGAAAACTTCCCACTCCTTGTGCCTCCAAACTAAAGACTTCCTGGCAATCAAAATAAGTCAAAGCTGGGCACAATTAATGAGGAAAGCTCAACCTCCAACTCTGCACAAAGAACAAGGGCAGGTAAAACGTCCCTAAAATGTTTGGGTCCCTGGGATTGCCCAAAGAGCCCCACCGCCAACGCTATTTACAACACTCTGCACTCCTTTATTCCAGTTCCCCGTCGGCCAGACGCTAGTCCACTTCCCCAGCCCTGTAATAGGTCCGGGCAGCTCCTGCGCTCCGCGGCCCTACCGCCGCCCCTCGGTTTTTCGGCTCACCCCAGGCAGCCAAACAGTCGATCTGCAGAGGCAGCTTTTCTAGGATCGGCACCGGTTCGAAGGCGTCGTGCATGGCGGCGAGCAGGGAGTCGCTGTGACAGTCTCACCCTGAGTGTGCCGTGACGGGCTCGAGAAGAGAACCACATTAAGGGCCGACCAGCATCTGGCCAGGGACCCCAATTACAGGCCCTTCAGCAACACAGCCATCATCAACACCGGACTTCCTTCTGGCCTAAGCCCACCCCTTCCGCAGGCAAAGTCCCGCCCCTTCCGCCAGGCTCTTAGAGCATCTCCAAGGAATTTGATGATGCTTGGGTTCCCATTTCGCCCTAGATCCAGAGCTTTTCCGTCGTGGCGTGGCCATGGGTTTAACAAGGAAGGAAAAAGATCTTAATCTTAGAGCCGTCTGAGGGACTGTGGTGTGGTGGTGAATGAATTCGGGCCTTGGCGTCGGACCTGGGATGGAGAGCTGCCATTCAGGAATTTACCTGTAGCATTTAAGAAATTTAATCTCCCTAGGACTTACTCTTATCCGAAAAATGATGGCAGTATCAGGTACCGACCTGACCTAGCATTGTGAGCGCTTAGCAACGCCGGACACACTCAGCACTCAATCAATGGTAGTTTTAGTATTACTATTATAACCACAGCCTTCCTCTTAGATTTTAAAGGTTGTTCCAAGCCAGTGGTTCTCAAAGAGTGGACTCTAGACCATCAGCATCAGCATCACCTGGGCACTTGTTAGAAAAGCAAAGTCTCAGGCCTCATTCCAGCTCTACTCAATCAGAAAATTCTTTCCAGCAGCCTGTTTTACTAAATTCCCAAGGTGAGTCCATGCACTTGAGTGAGAACCACTGCAAGAATGATCAGTATTATCTGGCAATTTACCTACATAAAAATTGCAGGTATGCCATAAAATTAAGCATATTGGTCTAAATCAAAAATGTAAAAGAAAAATGGGGTGAGTCTATGATAGTAAAAAAATGGCCCTGATCACAATTTTTTTTTTACACCATGTCAGTTTTTTCATCTATAAATTAGGAATATTGTCCTATCTACCAAATGCTGTTTCTGATAATAAAATGAAGTATTTTCAAGTAGTAAGAAACACAAAAATTGCAGAATGAATCTTACATTATGTCTAGTTTTTACCAGAGAGAGAAAACATCTTGAAGATTTAGAATTGCCAGCTGCTGTGCTGGAAGAAGGCCTAAGAACACGTTGCAGCTCCAGGATGAAGGGCCAAGACTAAAATAAGTAACGAAAACTATAAAGTAACAGGTCAATGTAATGGTATAAATTCCTTCTGAACCTGTTTTTAAAAAATGACACACTATATACAATCACAGTAATGTAACAAGCCTTAAGAAAAAGCAGAAAGAATTAACAAGTCCCAAGCTACAGAGTTTATACTATAAACTCCCGCTTAACACAATAGCTTCCTCCCCTCCCCCACCCCTTGGTCTCAAGTTGACATCTAACCAACTTCAAAAAACATGTGATCAACCATCCTGCAGCATTATGACTATTACTCACTTGCTGAGTTTTACTATGGAAGAACAGAGGCATACGATAGTTACAACAGCCCTTTGCTGATGGGTTAACCTGAGAATATTGTTAGTTCCTCATACTGGTATTATCCTTAGAGATACTGCCAAATTGACTTACAAAAAAAATCACCACAGCAAACAGCTATAGAGAAAAGTTACAAAAATGTAAACACTTTCACTATAATAGGAGTGCGTGAAGGCTATGGTTGTATGGTTATTTGTTCCAACAGATAAGATGAAGAATAACAACCATGGAAGGAAAATCCCCATTGAGAGAGTTTGGGAGAAAGAAGGGTCTTTAAGAGAAAATCTGAGAAAAGACAAAAAACATAGTAATTTTGTTAAAATTTTTTATATTAAAAAATGGCATGAACTTCTATGTAGAACAAAACTCTTGGGAAGGCAAAAGTAGACAAACCATTTAAACAGAAATATAGTGTATCAAATGAATCCCATCACCTTGTGATGTCTCTTTAAACAGTCTCTAAACCAACACCAGATACAAGAACCGTTGATTCCTAAAGAATGAGCAGCAGTCCAGGGCCTCCAAACTATCTCATGCAAGAAAACTTTAAGCTGGAAGGACCCGTTTCCTTTGTATTAGCTCCTGCTTCTGAAGAATCACAGTACTCGGGGTGCTCACTCACAAGCACTTGGATGGAGTGCCTCTCTGCCTCTAGTGCAACACCCAGTGAATGGCAGGAAGGCCAACAAAGCATTGTCTCCGACTCTGCAATGCTGCCTTGGAGGCTTACAAAACAGTAGTTGAAAGTTTTGGAGCGTGCACCACATTGCCAGCAATGGGATGTGTCACAATAGAAGATGTCAAGAGTTAACCTAATATTTCTCTCTAAAGTACATCTCAAATAGAAAAATCTTTAATATACACCTTTGTAAACAAAATTGCACTTGATTTTGCTTTTTAAATGATCTAAATTACATTGTAACAGTTTCTTTCTCTCCCTGTTTTTTCGTCCTTTTAATCATTGACAGAACCATGGCTCCTTCAGTCAGGGCATATTTTTCTCAAAACTACCTCTGCAAGCTGTAACCCTGGCTTCCCAGGAAATGGCAAGATAATTAACAATTTCCCCCATCACCTATGTAACTCCTTAAATAAATAAAAATTATAGGCAGTTGCTCCTGGAGATTACATATTATGGTGTTGACGTCAAGAAGATGTTAAACTTTTTAGTTTGACAGATTAAACAATTTAAACATCATAGAAGGCTCAGGAACAACAACACACATAAGTTGCATATAAACATCCATGTCAGGGTGTAGGAGGGAATGGGGCATCAATGCTGAAAATAAGAAACTTGTAGATTTTTCTCTTCCTATGAACTTGTTTTCAGTAAGATGTTCTCCTAGTCCTGACACCTCTGGCCAGCTCCAACACACAAAGATCAAGGAACAGATCAGGATGTCATTCCCTTCTTTAACCCCACGGGGCAGTATAGAGGACTGACAGGAGCTGATCTCTTCCCAGATACTGGCCATCTTCAACTGCACATCTTCCCACTTTACTCCATTTTGGACCTTTCAAAGTGTGTGATCATTCGTTCCTTGGGAAGAAAAAAAAAAAAGGTTTATTCAAAATACATTAATTGTAAATGGTCTGCATCCCAAATATCTTTTACACAGATGATGCACATGCACATTTTCTGCAAGTACATGTTTACATTCGTTAAACACCTAGAGAGATGTTCCTAAATGTCTATGAAGGTTTTGAAAGACAGACATGTCCAGGCCCCACCCAAGATTGACTGAATCAAAATCTCTAGTATTTCCCTGGCTGGTGTGGCTCAGTTAATTAAGCATCAGCCTATGAACTGAAATGTCACTGGTTCAATTCCTGGTCAGGGCACATGCCTGCACTACAAGAATGCAGTTGGGGGTGTGCGAAAGTCAACTAGTCAATGTTTCTCTCGCATATCGATGTTTTTCTCCCTCTTTCTCCCTCCCTCCCATCTCTCTAAAAGTAAAGAAAAATCTCTAGTCTTGTACATCAAACAACAAATCAAAAGGTTTTAGAATTAATCAAGATGATTAAACAAATATTTACTTAAGACTAAGCTCTAATAAAAATGTGTGCCTCCTCTGATTCAGGAATTTAACTTGAAGAAATAGTCAAGGATGTGGGTTAAGATTTAGAAACAAGTATTTCTACTGCAACACTCAAAATTATAATAAAATACTAGAAAGAATTGTGTCCAAAAACAGAACTGTGTAAACAAATATGCTATATCCTTATAATGAGATATTATACACTCACTAAAATTACATTGATGAGCCCTGGCTGGTGTAGCTCAGTGGATTGAGTGCAGGCTGGGAACCAAAGTGTCCCAGGTTCGATTCCCAGCCAGGGTACATGTCTGGGTTGCAGGCCATAACCCCCAGCAACTGCACATTGATGTCTCTCTCTCTCTCTCTCTCCCCCCCTCCCTTCCCTCTCTAAAAATAAATAAATAAAATCTTTAAAAAAATTATTTAAAAAAAAATTACATTGATGAAGTTCTAGAGACCTGTTGCACAACAGTGCACACAGTTAACACTTAGCTCTTGAGAATCGTTAGGATGGTCATTTTATGTGTTTCTGACCACAATTTTTTGGTGTGCTCAAAAGGCTTTCTGAAATCTAATATTCAGAACATGTCCAAACTATTTCCCAGTACTCAGCCTGCAGTTCCTACATAAGACTTCATTGTGAAGCCTTCCAGATGAACTGTATGCAAGCATATAAAAAGATCAAAAATCAGCATGTCTAGTTCCTTTGCCAGACTGGGGAAGTTTTCCTTCATTATTTGTTCAAGTAAGTTTTCAATTTCTTACTCTTCCTTTTCTCCTTCTGTCACCTCTAAGGTTTGGATGCTGGAACATTTAAAATTGTCCCAGAAATTCCTAAGCCTCTCCTCATTTGTTTGAATTCTTGTTTCTTCATCCTGTTCCGCTTGGATATTTATTTCTTCCTTTTGTTCCAAATTGTCGATTTGAGTTCCAGTTTCCTCCTGTCACTGTCGGTTCCCTGTATATTTTTCTTTTTCACTTTGTATAGTCTTTATTCCTTTATTTTGTGACCACACTCAAATCATTTCTGTGAGCAGCCTGATTACCAGTGTTCTGAACTCTACATCTGATAGGTTGGCTGTCTGCTTGTTGCTTAGTTCTTTTTCTGGAGTTTTGATCTATTCTTTCATTTGGGTCATTTTTCTTTGTCTCAGCACACCAGTTCTGTTGTAAGGGGTGGAGCTTTAGATATTCGCAAGGGCAAAGCAACCCACTTCAATGGGCTGTGGTGCTGTATGTTGCAGAGGGGTCCAAGAGGGAATGATGCCACCTGCTCAGCTCTCTCCCTGCTTTCAGTCACTTCCCTCATTTCCCACAAATGGATTGTGCCCTTTCAGATGCTGATTCCCAAGTAGGTGGGCTTGTGTATCTTCTAGGACCCCGTGGGTTCCTCCAACGGACTCCGCTGTGAGATTGTGGGTTTCTCCACTGCCACAACTCCTACAGGTTTTTACAGCCAGAGGTCTTGAGGATTTACCTCCCTGCACTGGAACCCTGGGTTGCAAGGTTTGTCTCACTCCCAAGTAGTTCCTTCTGGCTTATCCGCAAGCGAATGTGGGACTGCCTGGTCCACCAGCAGCCTCCACGCCTCAAGTTCTCTCTGCCCTG